GGGGGGATTTTTTTGTTTACATGAAGGATTTTAGTTTTAATTTGCTTTAGTGGTGACTAAATGCAAAATAGGTTACTGCAAAAGTCAAGCAGTCTTGTTTTCTCGCAGTACCTTTTGAAGGCATTTTCAAAATGAAGTGTAGTCCGGGAAGGATGCCCCAACCACAACTGCAATTGAATCATCTGAATATTCAGATATTTAAAAAATCTCTCGAATCTAGCTCTAGAAATTGAATTCAATGCAAAAAATGCTTCCTCCCAGTCCTTGCAGAATGGCATGAATGAAAGTAGCAATGCCAATCGGGCTTCCGCACATGGTGAAAATTTGGTCCCTGTTTGCAGGTGAACTTTTGGACCCGGTCGGAACAATAGTGACAAACTTTCTCGAGCTCGTTCTGCGCTATTTCTGGACCAACGTGAATGAAATTAGGCAACCATTCAGAAAATAGGGCAAACTAATGATATGTGGAAGTTGAAGATCGTACACATAAATTAACCTACTTTCGTATCGACTACATTGAAAACTAAAAGGAGTTTTTGATGCCAAGATGGTAAGAGATCCATCTTTCCTCTATAGTAATTTAAAATTTGAACGTTCTGTGTCAAGTAGGTTTGTGCACAATTTACCATCTATAAATGTACCACTACCCCCCTGTCCAAAGCGGCTTCGCGCGGAGACCGGCCATTTTCTCCTCACTCCCTATGAAAATGTTGTGACCTACAAATCCCCGCATGACTATTCCGAGCCTGTTCATTGGTCACTTGAAACAGGGCAATGGCTTGCGCGCACATCCGGTTGTTTTTCTCTCTGTTCCCCTGTAACATCGCAATGGGGATATTCCGAGGCGAGCTTATCGGGTGTTCGCGTCTCAACGGGATGAAGGGGATTTTAATTGAACGGCATGTTAGATTGAATTAAGCTAGGTGCAAGGTAACTGCTTTGCTCCCTTCACGACCTTGACCTTTTTCACTCCGCTTTTTGTGTACTGTGAGCGGAATGTAATCCCAAAAATGATCCCAATCTACTCCCTGTCATCTTTCCTAAGGGAGAGCAAAATGCAGTGACACTGAAAATCTTACTTAGTAGAGAGCTGTAGTTGTAATCAGAATTTTAAACATTAAATAAAAACATATTTGCTTCCAGTTTCAGTTTGTTTCGGGGGTTTTTTGTCCTCTCGTGTTGCGTCCAGCCCTAGCCCTCCCCCTATCCCCGAGTGCGTCTCTTAAAAAAATCAATAATCTCCCCCCCATTCCTGAGTCCTGTACTTCGAAGCGCTCAGAACACGCGCAGGTTCATTGACCGGTCACAATGGCGAGCCCGAAAAGATGCTTGTATAACTTTCTTTTCTTTATGTTGTCCCCCTGACAGTGACAAATATTGATTTATTTTCATGGCAACATCACGTTTGTAATGCCGAACCTTCATGTTACAATAATTGTTGCGTTATCAGACAATTACTGACAAATTTCTAGGTGGTAACGAAAGCGAAAGTAAAGGCTTACTGGACGCTCTGTTATGAAATTTAGTGGGTATCATGCTGAACTATAGAGCGGTTGACCCTAGTGCGTCATCTTCGAAAAAGCGCAAACTTTGCAAACAGAGTTACCCTACTTGTGTGAAAAACAATAAAAGTGACACTCTTTTTGGCTGAGTGAACTATCTCTTGGACCCTCCGGTTACTGTGTACGTTGATACTGAGACTACGTGCCCAGTTACCGTGTACCTAACCTGAGGCTACGCGCCTGGTTACCGTGTGAACTTGAGGCTACGCGCCCGGTTACCGTGTGCGTAGACACAAAACTTGGATTGCAGCTAATGGTGTAAGAGTGGTGACTGCGTTATTCTGAGGCCACTTCTCGCATTATATGTAGCGGGATTTACCTGATGTTTTCCCTTTGACGAATCGGTCCCGCATAAGGTGCGGGACGTTGACGGTAGCGTCAATGTACTTGCCCCGCAGCTTGTGCAGCACACGTCGCGAGTGAGTTAATGAAAGAAATTACAAAATCGCTGTTTAATGAACAACAAATGAAATTGAATGGCATCCAAACGCCCACTACCAAAACAAAAACATTGCCAATTGCTCTCACTCTCAGTAGTAATCTATAGCTCTCTAGCCTCTCTATTTACACTAGGGAGTGTCAGACCCGGTAACCGGGAACAAAGTCACAAAGTATACAGGCCCGGTATGGGAACTCTTTTGTGATTTCGGAAAGTTCTTCTTGGCTCAGAGTAGACCTAGATCTAGGTTCTTCTTCTAGATCTATGGCCTAGGTCTAGATCTAGACAGACAGACATAAATCATTGATCTAGTTTCGAGGCTAGCCTGGATCTAGATCTAAATGAAGATTGCGAATGTCTTTTCGATGAACGATCGTTTTTCCTCCGTTTTGGAGTTGGAGAGGAATCACAATTTGAAGAAAAGAACAATGTCATAACTAATTACAATCGAGCTGTCACCCTCTCTAGTAGGCACTACTTGATGGTGGTCCCGACTTGTGTAGGCCTAGATCTACTGAAATATCGATACTGATTTAAATAGTCGGTATCAATGTTTTATATTTTATCAGTAGCTTAGATCTAAACCTAGCCTACAAAATGAGCAGTAAAATTTCACTTGTTTTTCACAAGGCAAGGGGGGGTTGCCCCCCTGACTTTAAAAAAAAAAAATCATCGGGTGTTTCAGGGGGGGCATGCCCCCCTGAATTTGAAAACGATTTTATGTTTTGAAATTAGGTTTGAAAGGCTATCTCTCCATATCGGCACGCGAATCAAAAAGTAATTGTTTAGACTTAAATCTAGTACCAAAAGTAATCGTTGTTGGGGTCAAAACTAGATCTAAATTCTAGATTTTCCCTGTCACAAAAGTCAGGACCACCATATTTTTCAAGAAAGTGGCTATTCTCACCCGCCCGGAAGTTCTCGCAAGATCAACTCCTCCCCTCTTCTCTCTCTCTCTGTCTCTTTCTGAATACTGTCTAACGGTGTGGACGATCAAATTGACCAAAACAAAGTTAATAAATGATGTTAAAACATAAAAAAAGTAAATTAATTTGGCTGTCTACAAAGATGCTACGGCTATTTAACTTTTCGAATCGAGCCGAACTACGCGGGTCACCATTTTGTTTTGCCCGGAAATTCTCGCGCTACTCCTCTCTCTCTCTCCACTGCCCACAGACAAAATTGTACGCTTTTAGTAGGCTACAGTTGTAATGGAACGTTTGTTCACAGCACAGAATTCTACAATTTTTCTGTTATCACAGTGTAGAATTCTGTGGTTTAGGGTGAACGCAAAATTTGGTGAACGCGCACCGGGTGAGAATAGCCACAAGACTCGCCTGCACTATTCTCACTCCGGGTGAGAATAGAGGTGGCCCTTTTTCAAAGTAGAGTAGTGCCCCCTCTCTAGATCTATTTCTCTCTCTCTCCTCTGTCTCTGTGTATCGCTCGCATTCTCTTTTTCTTTGTTTGTCTCTGTCTTTCTTTCTCCCCACCTATTTTCCACTGTATCTTTCTCTCGTTCCCTCCTGTCAACTAGGGCATATGTACATTTTGCTAGCACTTCCCCTTGCTCTCTCTCTCTCTCTCTCTCTTACACACACACACACACACACTCGGGTCTGGGCGCTGAAACTTTCCGAAATCACAAAAGTCCTACCAGGTCTGCATACTTCGTGACTTTGTTCCCGGTTACCGGTTCTGTATACACTTCGTTTACACTATCTAGGCCTAGTCACTAGGCTAGGGCTAGGCTACAGGTAACACACTAAACTACACACGTACTCCTTCAGTTCAACAGTACAGACACAGGACTAGATCTAGAATCTAGATATAGATCTAGAATATAGATCTAGATCTAGATAAAATATAGATGTAGATCTAGATTCTATATCTAGATCTAGATCTAGATCTATATCTATAGATATAGAATCTAGGCCTACACAGTGCAACAGTTCCATTCAATCATCAATCGTTCAATTACCATCATTTGAAATGTAAGGCATCTTTGTCTTTAGCAGTTACTTGTTGGAAGGCACCCTGCTGACGAGGTTCTGAAAACAAGAACACTCCCAACTTCCTTCATGGAAGCAAATACGAGAAAACAGATTTTTGTTACAGTTTGGGACTTGCTTCTCTCACTCAATTCCCTTTCGAACTTTCGATGGATGTGACACGCAACATAAACAACGTTGGACAGAGTTGATATTTTTTTGGAATCGGCGCAGTACACTCAACAGTGAATCAGCTCATTTGAACGTAGGCTACGCGGTGTGATAGCCAAGGCCTACGTAAACCATTGTGGTTTGCTGTTTATGTTCTGGCCCAAACTAAAAAGTAATCCAAGAGGGGAACGACGTATTGCCAGAAATTTGGATCTGCTGATTTGATTCCGCAGTCAAGGTACTCATTTTTTGATGACGTTTTGTGGTTTCCGGGATACTCTTGAAAACTATTTTCGTTTCTCTTTCAGTGGTGTAGTAACCTCAGGACAACAACAATCAAAGTTGGGATTTGAAAGACTTTTCTGGAAGGAACAAATTCAGATGCACGAATGTTGACAACACACCATAGTTTTCAGTAGTTCTGTAAGTTGTTAGTGAGACAGGGTGAGTACAGCAGTCATTGAGAATGTCTTTGTCTTGGCGCTCAAAGAGTGCCTCTGTCGCTATTCCTATTCCTAGTGTCAGTACTGTGGTGACAGTGAGTACCACCGTCCGTTACTGATGACTAGGCCTGACGTCGTAAATCCGTGGTTTGTCAATTCAAAGCCCAAGTTCAAGTTATCCCCCCCCCCACCCCCAATTATTAGACCATAACCGGCCATTCTAAAACTGTCAACAGCTGTCTTCTTGATCTAGACGGCAGCCTGCTGACTCAGTAGGTCTTTTTTCTTTGCAAATTGCAGGAGACTGTTCGGTTCGGTTGTCTGTGATTGTGCAGCACCCATCTTCCGCCGAGATTGATTCTGATGCTGTACACTACGTAAATTGAGAAAAAAGACTAAGAGTAGGCCTACTGTTCGGTTCAGCTGCCGTTGTGCAGTCGTGTTGCCACCATGACTGACAACAGAGTGAAAATCCCTCAATGACGTCAAACAAGATATAATGGCTGTTACTATAAATAGGCCAGTAACGTACATCTGATGTTCTCTAATTATCCGCTTGTGAGCTTGACTGCCTGCATGCCAGCATGATGAAATGAATATAATATGTCAACAAACTGTTGGCCAATTTGAGCCGGGAGACAAGTTTTACTCAATTGATACTGACTCATCAAACTCAACATTCTCCCAACAAAATCGAAGCCTATTGTATTTTAGGATCCCTCCTATTAATTGAAGTGTTTTCTTCTACTTCTAGATTTTCAATTTTGTTCTTAGTCGCAGAGTTTGGGTAAGGCTAACTCATGCATTTAATTGTGTGCCTGGGCCACTTGATTGGGGTTGTTTTACTGCCGGATTATAGTGACTCAGCACAAAAACTTTTCAGTTTCAAGCTTCAAAATAGAGAGTTCATTGTGGGGTTGGTTTCCATCCCTGTGTGTTCTGCTGGTGTGTTCATTTGACCTCAGCTTTAGTTTTGTCCGCACCCAAATTATGATCTGGAAAGTGATAATGTGGGAGGGAATACATTACATTGGTTCAACAAATGTATTAAATTTCATTTTAAAAGCAGGGATGCCAAATCTCCAGTTTTTCCGGCTTTTTCCGGGTTTTTTATACACTTGCAAAGGAAAGGGAAATGTAAAAGAAATGTTTTTGTTTACCCATTTAAGATTTTACAAGGTTTGTTTTAGGTGAGGTGTGATGCTCCGCTCATTTTCAGGGTTTTTTTCAAAAATCATTTGGCATCCCTGTAAAAGTAGAGCTGTAAAGCACAAAGTACACTCAAAGCTCTTGACCTTGGGCCCCTGGGGGCTGTATTTTTTGCACCCCGCTATATAAAGCATTTTCGACACCCTCGCTTTCCAGTGGGTCTCATCAGTCTGGCCCCGCTTAGCTTTACGTGTACCAGGCATCTCATTTCTGCAGCCGAAGTGTGTGTGTGTCTGTCTGCCTGTGTTTGTGTGTATTTGTGGCCTACTTTCAGAACCTAACTTGAATGGTCTGTATTGGTTCAAAAACGAGGCGTACGTAACATCTTGTTCAAAACAAGTTAAGTTCTTTTTTTTAGCAATGAAATTTGAACAAATTGACCCACTTAGATATATATATGAGAAACTCGAAAGCATAATCAGGAAAAGAATCTTTCATATGAGCTTGATTTTACATTGAATGATCTGATATTTAAATACTGATGGTTTTTAAATTGTGTGCAGTAAATTTGAGAGCAAAACTTTTGGTTATTGACCTATATATATATAATTTTTACTTTTGAACCACAGATTAATTGTGATATCAACAATAGCATCTAAAAAGGTTAAATTTGAATGGGCATAGCCTCGCCTCTTTTTTTGTCACCGTAAGTGTGTGCTATTAGCTCCAAGAGACAAATGTAATAAATCACTGAAGTCATGGGGGGCATGAAAAACGCTGGGGTTTTTTTCAGTTTAAAAACTCCACAGTTCTTGGTCACTTTTGTTGTCTCGACACTTTTTATAGAGCAATGCATTTTCTGTTTTGAATTAGTTTTGGTTAACAGAGGGTGTTTTGGGAAGGAAAACCAGAGGGAAAAGGAGGAAAAAAGGCATGTACAGTATAACACGGATAGGTCGAACACAGAAGACTCGAAATCATGCTTCCATCGAACTGTGCCTGTGGTTCTGTATTTTTCTTATAAACTTTAACTTTGTAAGAAAATTACGCGAAGCTCAAACACAAAGGATAGTTGAACTAATTACGCCACCATAGTGGTCTAAAGTCAGTGTTCTTTGAGGTGCTCTTGAGACAAAATAATAATTATTTAAAAAACGGAAAAGGGCAAGGTCGTTAAAATACCACCTTCCCCCCTCCACAGGAGCAGCTAGCCGTGCTATTTTTAGCGTGCTGCTCAACATGAATGGCTAGCCCCTAGGCCTAGCTAGGCATTGGTGGAGCAGGTGAGAGGAAGGGTTGTGCATCACACGATTGACCGTCCCACCCCTCTTCGCAAAGGACTGCGTGTATGGTGGGAGAGGCAGGGAAGGGCTGCATTGCTCTCAGACAAGTGAACGGAGGTAATCGACCTATTATTTTGCCCCTAAAGTTGCAATCTTTGATGCTTCCCTTGATTCTCTGACACAGCCGATGCCATTATAACACTGTTCTCGTATCCCTCGAAGTACAGTCCCAACGAATTCGAACTATCCATGTTATACTGTAATATGATAGTAATGTGATAATTGAAAAAGTTCAAGAGATGAGAGAGGGCGTGACAGAGAGGTTGTCCATTTTCATTTTGACTTCAAAAATTATATCTTGCAAATGGATGATTTATTGAGAAAGAAGCTCTCAAACTCCTGAGAGCAATTATGGGCCGCTTAACAGTTAAACAGGGCACTTTACTCTATGTATGTTTAATCACTTACAAATTTTCACACTGCTAGTCTAGGCCTAGATAAGATTATGTTATTTATACATGGTTGTTTTTTTGTTTTTTCAGTGTTAGTCATAGATGGAGGAAGGACTAATATTATACTAGCTTTTTGATTTTTTTTTCATTTAGTATAAAAATTGTTTCTTTCCGTCAATTGGCAGATCCTGAAAATGTCAGGTCAACAACTTCGACTGCGGGTACAGACCAAACTAGGACCCAAGATGTTGGATGGTTTATATCTAGCCTCAACTGTAGGCAAGTTGAAAGAAACTATTTCAGCAGCTGCCGACATACCACCACATAGAATAAGATTAAGACAAGGTTACCCTCCAAAGATTATCGATATAAGCAATGACACTGCTGAGTTGTCAACATTACCGTTTCGCTCTGGTGACACTATCATAGTTGAGGAGGATGAGTCTCATTCCCAGGGCATGGTCCCAGAGACCAGTTCCTCCTCATCGGACGATCGTCTCGACACTCTGCTCCACCATCAGTTGGAGGAAGGAGCATCTGGAATACTCACCCGACGTGTTGTGCCAGCAGACAATTCCTGCTTATTCACAAGTACTCACTTGGTCATGAGTGAGGGTGCTTTGGACTCCAGCGAGGCGAGCCACCTAAGGGAGGTTATCGCCGGCATCGTCTCAAAAGATCCAGTTACTTATTCAGAAGCTTTTCTAGGGAAACCAAACAAGGAGTATTGCAAATGGATTCGGGACAAGAATTCTTGGGGAGGAGGAATAGAACTGTCTGTCTTATGTCAATTTTACTCTACAGAGATTGCTGTAGTGGACACTCAGAGCGGGAGAGTGGACAGGTTCGGAGAGGACAAGAATTACAAAGAGCGAGTTTTCCTCATCTACGATGGAATCCACTACGACCCTCTGGTGTATGAAGCCGTAGACCAATCTGGGGGAGTTTGCACAAAATTCTCCATACACAATGCTGTCATCTTGGCTCAGGCTCTAGAATTAGCCTCCGAAGCAAAGTCAGTACGCCAGTTCACTGATGTGGAGGGGTTTTCTTTGAGGTGCCTAGTATGCCAGACGCCTCTGCGAGGACGGAAAGAAGCCACTGATCATGCCCAGGCCATGGGGCATCTCAACTTCGGTGAATATTGATCAAAGTTAGACTCTTGCTGCCTGTATCAATCACATATCTTATATTTATATCAGGGTGCAGTTTTGTTCAAACAAAGGACCCAAAAATAAGAATGGATGTCATAAAACATTCAAATTAGTCAGTGGATAGTTTTATTCTTTCCATCTCAACCGGAATAATTGTGACTCTTGAAATGGACATAGAAAGTTCTGGGTCTCTAATGTATACTGAACTGCGACTGCTGATAGAAAAAAGAAAAAGAAAATTAAATGACTTGGATGAGTTTCATTGAAACCCTTTATTTTTTTAGCTTCCTCTATTCCAAGCATTTTTAATTTTTGTTGGAGTTGTGGAATACATGGTAGTATTGGTAGTGGTCGTGAAGGGAATAGTTCTTGTTATAGGTGATGATGTGAGCCAGAATTTTTTTGGCATCCTACAAATCTTATTTCATATTTGTAATAAAGTGAGCAGTAATTCCTATGAAGACCGAACTACAGTGTCAATGAAAGGGAGCACAATTTTAGCTTTTCAATTTACGTTTTAAAAAACGTTATTCTTGTTTTTAGTTGTTTTTTTAACGTTGCTTTTAAAATATTATGTTGTTTCAGGATTATAGTTCATTAATGCGAACATTCTGGAATGCTGTCTCTCTTTTACTGTTATTTTTTTCTTTTTTATGTGTTTTTGTATTAGTAAATAAAGTTCTTCAAGTTGTGATCAGTTTAGCAAATTTTTTTTACGTTTTAATTACTGTTTGGAAAACATTGTTTGGTTTTATATATATTATATACCTCATAATACTATATTTTGAAGTTTCTCTGTGAAAGAGAAACAGTTATGGGACCTCTAACTCTTATCTATTTAAGTCAGTCCAGTTTATGGACATAGTCATTTCAAGTATGTTTTATGTTTTTGATAATTTATAAAATAAAAAAGACTGGATTGGTGGAATTTATTTGATTTGGATCTTCAAGTTTTTAGGAACACCCGAACAAAATGCTCATCTACAGGTTACAGGCTGCTGGATTTTCATAGAGTGCTCTTTGTACTGAACCGCTATAAATCTTGTTTGTCCATGTGCACAACTTTCATTTAAAACTACCGTCAAATACATTTTCTAACCTTTGCTTTGTTGGGATTCTTTCAAGCTTTACAAATTTTTACTTAAACTTTTTTTATCCAAGTAGCCATTTCCTGAGTGTAGTCACTCTATCATGTCAGGCACAAATCTGACTGTGTGGCGCGATTTTGACCATATTTGCAGTTATTGTTACTGAAAACTACCTTTCAAAATGTAAGAAACCGATACATTTTTGCAAATGTTTACAGTAGAAATGTATGGAAAATGCCTTCTCAGCCTTTTGTGTAGTACTACTACAGACACATTGTACAAAACTATTGTAAAACAGAATGAAATTTAAGATTGCACCATATTTGAGGCACGGAATAAATGCTGCATATTAAATTATGTGTGTGACACATATTGGGAGTACTTATTATCTGTCCATGCGTACACATGTACGCAGCATGACTATTGTTCATTGTTTCAGGAAGAAACATCCTTGCAGTTCGGACACATCCACTGATGCTCCGTTGCTCTCTCCAAAATGCCGCTGAGGGTCTTTCTACTGATTGTGCCAGTGCATATCTGGTTGAACGTTCTTCTGTTCTTTCCTGCAAGGATGCCAGATTTTCTACTTCCTTTCTGAAAACCCAAACCCATCATCCACTCCACAGCAGTACTGGCCTCTGCCTCCTTATCTTCCTTTTCAGTCAGGTGGTGAGAGAGACATTCAAGGATCTCGACCTTGTCTGGTTGAAATGTGCTGTCTACTGAGGTGGTCTCACCAGCCAGTCTGTCGGCTTTTTCATTTCCTTTAACACCTGCATGGCCAGGGCAGAAATGTGTCGATTGCCTGTGAATGTTACATCTTTCTATTGTTAGCTCTATAGCTGAAAGGTCTTCTAAAAATTGTATCAAAGTAACAAGGACCTGAAAAAGTAATAGTCTCCTCTACTTATTAATATAATAAGAATAAGATCCCTCTCCATTCAATTCAGGAGAGAAATCAGAATGTCCTGAATACAGTCAAATCTGTTCATTGTGCCCCATCTTGTAATGACAACCCTGTCTACAGCTGCTGATATCCCTGTACTCCACGCAAAAAAAAAACACCCAGGTTATTTTGACCCCCACCCCCTTTTTTGGGGGGGGGGTCTATATTAATTTTTTTTTTTTTTTTTTTTTATTAATATCTTACAAAATTCACATTCCTCTGTTCAATGCCACTGGACCAGATTTTTTCAAACTCGTTGCTGGCAGTTAAGAGGTTTAACCACATGTACTTCAGCAGTGTCCTCTCTTAATTGCAAGTTTAGTTTTTATTTGAATTTATAATTTAAAACAAATCTTTTCCAGGATATCATTTTTTTTTTCTCCAACTTTAAGATTGTCAGTCAAAAAGGCACATATGATTGTAAACGGTTTATTGTTTGTGAGTGTGTGTTTGTGTGTGTGTGTGTGTGTGTGTGTATTTGTGCATGTGAGCTGTCTGTGTGTTCATATTATATTTTTATGAGTGTATAACTATAACACATTTGTTCCCAAAACCTACATAGTTGTGAACTTAAATGCATGTGTGTGGGAATTTTGTATGCATGTGCATTACAGTTTTGTTTTTGACTGACAGAGGTGTGAAAGTGTACTAGTAATACTCAGTTTTTTTAATAACTTTGAATTTTTACAAATTGAGGATGAAATTCCTGTCAGCTGCATGATACAGAGGCATCAGTATTGTTTATATTTGCGCCAGAGAACATTGATTGTTCGACTTGTTGAAAATGTGTCATATAAAAGCATATGGAGAGACTGCTTGAAAGAAATCAAATACAGTGTGTTGTTTCAAGCCATTCACGTACGTGTGCCATGTACTGTACAAATACAAATGAGTGACAGAACTAAAGCAAATCAAAGAGTAAAAATCTGAACTATATTTTTAATGTATATTTTGTCACACTAAGTGAAAAAAATTACAGTAATTTTTTTTAAAGGCAGTTCCTCAATCTGTTATAATGCAGCACGAGATACAGTACTGGAGGTCAAGTAATATTATAATATATTTATGTGGAAGAAATATGTAAACGTCAACCCCTTTCATTGTTCTAAAGGTACTGCTTAGGTTGATGTACAGTTCCCCAAAAGTATTATATTACTTTACTTGGGCACCTCTGCTTATATTCATGTAGTTTTCATGCTTTTCCAACAGGTGTAATGGTATTCAAGCAGTGTACCTCGACTCCAAATCTTTGGTGATGTTAGTACATGTACATTGTAATGTTAATGACATAGCTTGTACCCTCGCCTCAAATCAAAATTATTTATTGTTCCCCTTCTATAGAGATGGGACACAGAATGGCCAGCATAAATACATGTACTGGATTATTGTCTTTGTGAAGTTTTGATTTTCTCTCAAGTACAAGTACAATATGGTATTAGACTAGAGTAGGTAGAACAAAGTTTGCGGAATCTGAATTCAGCCCGAGGTCTGGTGACTCAATTATGTTAAATTAATATTTTTGGCTTGATGAAGTTAATTAATGTAATTGTTGGCATTAGAAATAAATCATTTATGTTTTTATCACTTCTAGCCAGTGTAAATTATTTTGCAACATGGATGATTAAATAATACAGTGGAACTCGCATTCAACGAGAACACGCATTCAACAAGATGAGATAGATTCCCCATTTTTTGTTCTTCTTTGAAATCAATAAAAATAACCTGGATTCAACGAGCTTGGATTCAACGAGGTCGCTTCCAGGGTGAACAGCCCCCGCAGACGTGGCTTCGCTCCTTTTTCTCCCAGAACGAACTTTATCTATTCCCGGAAACGATCCATTGCACCTGCATCGTGAACTATTATTCACTTAGCCGATTGCATGCGACCAATCAGCGGCCTTTTTTCATACCAACACATGCGTTGTTGGCACGTGCACGTGTCTACTCTGGCGTGTGTCGGGGAGTCGGTTGGGCAGCCTGCACAGGTGTGGCTGTGTGTGCGTATCGGCACTAACAGTCCGAGCGTTGAACGTCGCAGATACAAGCGAGTCACAATTTTTTCCTCCTCGGCAACTAATCATTAACGATGAAGCTAGTCTTGACGTAGATCTAAGTAATGAATTGTGTGCTGGTCTATGGAATCAAAAGTTGCCGTATGCTTGGCTCTACACAGCAACACAACTTTTTGGTAAACAATCGAGATGACATAGGCGGGTGCATTCGAACGAATCTGTCTTTTTTTACACAGCTTATAACATGCATGCATTTCAGGCACTACTTGTGACTTCTCTTTATACGTTACCCATTCTTGCTCAGTGCCTGTAATTATCTACACAAAACCTCTTGTTTGCTATAAAGAACACTCGGATTCAACGAGATTTTAGGTCAGGCCCGGCGACCTCGTTGAACCCAAGTTCCACTGTATATGCCATACTTGCCACCTTCTGCCAGTGTCTACAGTATTGCAAGGAATTGTCTTCTATTCCTGCAGCTAAAACTTGAATTCTTTGCATCTGCATGTTAAATATGCATAGAAGCTAGCAGAGGGTTATTGCTATTTTCATCTCTGTTCTAGATCAGGAACCTACTTGAAGCTGAAGGGGAAGGTTTTGTTTCAGATTCCCTCCTAACTGTGTGGAATATCATAGACTCTTGACCATTTTGTTTCTTGTGTACGTTCTTTTTGTCTGGGCAGTGAAAAGGTATTCTTTTACTTTTATGGATAGAGGAGAGAAGTTCTCTTTGTTTTTAACCTGTGAAAATGATACGTGAAGTAAATGCAGTATTTGTTGTCTGCTTGAGACAATTGCAGGCGTTACTGCAGTAGAACTTAGTTCAGTATGATGTTGGTTATGAAACCATTAAGTTCATGATGAACTGACTCGAGCTGCCATTTTCTTGTCAAACATGTTGATGCTTTAGCGATATTTTACTGCATTGTGTTTTATGATGTGATTAACATTTTTTTTATTATTTATTTTTTTCAACTTAAGTATAATTTCATCTTTGTTTCGTTAATCAATAATTTTCAATAAACCATCTTCGCTCTTCCGACGAATAAGTTTATTTTGCTCTTGAAGTTATGTTTTTTTAGATTAATTTCAATGTTATGTTTGTGAACATTTCAAAGTGGTTACTGTACTGTTGATAAAGTGCAAGTATAAAAGTTTCATCTGTGGTTGCCAAATATAAAGCCATCTATTCAGCTTTGAGTCTGACGTAATTCAAAGGAGAGACCCTTTGACGTGTAAAGCCAGTGATTTTGTTATTCTGATTTAGGCCTACATACTATGAATTACCTTCTCTTGCATTTATTTTTGACAGGGGGTTGGAGAGTGCAACAGACTGGCAGATTACTTTCCACCGTTTTTACATTTTGATCTGTCTTGCTTTTTATCCCCCAAAATGACTGTTAAAGCATCTATTTGCCTTTCATTACCTCAAACTCAAACTGCAGTTTTTCTAAAGCAAGGTGAAAGACAAGATTGGAATTAATTGAAGCTTTCCCATCACTATAAAATTGAGTTGCTGATAGAACAGAAAGAATCCTGGCTCACATAGTGTGACATCATAGTGAGTGAGCACTATTCCTGTCTGTTTAAAAAAGTGTCCTTACTTTACACACCCTCGTCTACACAATTTAAATCATTTCAGACTATTCAGAGGCAGAGGCAGTGTCAACCTTGCCTGTCAGAGCCAACCTGGGCTGAGAAAGATACAACATACCTGCATAAAAACTGATACACTTGATAAAAATTATCCCCATACAGGAATGAAACTCAGATCTTCTGAGTGTGATGGTGAAATTAATAACCACTACACCACAGACAATACACACCAAAAATAGACAATAACTTTTTACATTCTGCAAACACATGTTTATTTCATATATCTCTCTATACTCTATACAATAAAACTGTACATTGGAAGGAACAAAAAATAGCATGACTCAGTTTGGGGTTGTCTTCATGGGCGTAGTGGGATCGTGGTCAACAGTCTGGTGTAACATGAGTCCCAGCACACCCATACGGTTGGACATTGCCATTCGAATGTTGCGCTCTTGCTCAAACAGATCATCCAGTTTCATCCACTGAAAGAACAACAAAAATTACTTCTGTAGGAGTTTAACGGTACTTGCAACACAATTAGTTTAGGCCATGATGAGCGCCTTAGAGGTGTTACTAGACGAGTAGACGGCAACATAAGAAGGAAGAGACATTAATCATTAATAAATATAGATGTTTGATGGGAAAGAAGGCAAACCAAACCAGAGCACCAGCCAACCACTAACAGATTATAACAAAATTGAAAAATTACCACATAATTTACTTTGAAAGATAAGACAACAATATAATGATGGTTATAAACAGCTTTATAAAAAGCAAGACAGATCACAGCCAATGACAAAAGAGCCCGATATGAAGAAAAAATAGGACATACCAGAAGAGACCTCAAAATGCTTTCACCAAACAATTAGAAACCAACAGTCACATCAGCTTCATGTTCGTGAATAACGAGCTAAAAGTGTTAATTTATCTTTGCCATTTTATATAAATAGAGAATAGCCAGTTTTCGTATGACTTGATATAAAAACGTCAAAGTCAAAGCAAAAAACTGAAGAAAAAGTACATGTAAATCACAACAACTCAAGACAGTGATCTCTTATTCAGAGCCACTGGAATGGCCTTGTTTGTTTTTTATTCACAATAACCAAGCAAAATCTACCAGTACCAACCCCCTTTTCTCCAAACATTAATGTTGAAGTGTTGTAAGGAATACAGTTAAACACTGGCAGAACAAGCCCGGGCAGTAAAAATGGTTATTTTAAGATTCTTTATACTTTATTCAGTAGTTCTTTATTTCAGTCAACACACACACACAAATATACTTTTCCTCACATAGTCCTTTTTGGTCAAAGTAATACAGTGGAGTCCACTTATAACGAGTCCAGAAATAACGAGAAGTCTGTTATACTGTTATAAAGACACCATTCTAAAACCCCTTCTTTTCCCCTTCTTTATCTTTGTAATAAAATACTGTTATAGCACAATCAGACAAACACGCGAGTCGGTTATAGCGGGATATTGCTGCTGCTATGCACAGCGCATAGGCCAATTACACATGATAAAACCTCGCCAGTTGAGAAACTTGTTGGTGATCTAGCGAAACCAAGGACCTTACATCAACTCCTTGAGCGAAACAAAGAATAGGAGCTCTTCACTTCTCCGTTGCGGGAATGGAGAGGTCACAATGCTGTGATGGATGGGGCGAATGTGACATGCACGCAAGCAGAAGGAACGCACCACGTGGTGTAGTGTGGTTGGGAACAACACAGCGGGCGAGTTAGCCTAGAGCACTATCTGTCAACATTGCAAGCGCTAGAGATAGAAACCCGATTGGATTTTTGATCAAGTAAGACCAAGAGGTCATATTGAACAATATCATCCTCAGGGGAGATAAAAAGAAATAAACAGAACACCAAACTCATAGACTAGGCCTACAGTATTTTTTTTTTTTTAATTTATTACTGGATCCCTTATAACGAGAATCATGGTATAACACACATTTCGCACTGGTCCCCTCCCTTTCGCTATAACAGGATTCCACTGTAGAAGGAATAGTATACATGGTACATATGTACTGTATAAAGTATTTCTTCCCAAGAAAAGAAAAAAAAGAAGTTATTGGTGTTGCTTCTTCTCCCTTTCGCCAACATCCATGACAAACTTTTGTATCCCCATGAACATAAAAAAACTGCCCCCCCTCCCCCCATTATTGACCATGAAAAAGAGGCCTAACAAGTGTCTCACCCCTATTTTTAGACAAACGCACACAGCGCGTATGAAACTCCAGCGCACCCGCCAGCCAAAGGTAGGCCTAGAGCCTCCCCTCCCCAGGGTCCCAGGCTAGGAGTAAGGCTTGGCCGAACAAAGTAAAAATGAAGCGAATCCATTATGTCAGCCATAGGCTTAAGCCTCTATACGTTCTTACTCTGAACTTGTGCTGATAAGTGTAAGGACAGTGTGTAGCCACTGTGTAGGCAGACTCGCATGGCAGTTGGGCAACTCTTGGTTCGGTCAACTCAAAGAGACAAGCTGGTTCATTTCTTCAGTCGTAAATAAAAAGGAAAAAGACTTGTTGGGCAAGAGAATTGGTTTGTTACAGCCGTCAGTTTGTTATTGTATGTTTACTAAAAGTGTCAAAATATAAATGACACAAAGAGAGAAAAAAAAACGGGCAAAGAAATGTGTTCTTTAAATTTCTGTCAGTTCTTTACAGGTGTGCTCTACTTACTATTTTGGTACCAGTAATACTTCCGGCAGCAGATTATTTATAGCAGACACAAAAAAATAATCTTTGGACATACATCATGTTCCATTAGCCAACATACTCTTGATTTTTCTCAAGAGCGAATGATAATTTTAACGAGCTCTTAGTCTATGTTAATGCTGATAACCAAAAGCAACCACAGTAATCTTAGAGTTCAATAAAGTCGATTCTTTTATAACTCACTCGCTGCCAGCTTCTTACTAATCTAAGCTCAGACCAAGCTGCCTGCCAGCTTTTTTTTTTTACCTTTTTCAAAATTCAGTTACTCTGTACCTATTTACGTTAGATTTATGAAAATTGGCCAGTTTCAGAAAGAGATGTTGCCTCTTTACAGAACAGGAAAAAAAAAACAAATTTTGGGGACTAAAACTTTTTTTGGGCCTGACAAGCTAGTACAATATTTTTGCAGTGTTTATGAGAGTGTTGCTGTTTCTGTTCTAAAAATACTAAATATGTATGTGTATAATATATACACACAAAAATATTTTACCCTTTCGCACTTAGTCACTTAGCAGGCTTGGCCGGCTGTGCCCCCCCCCCCCCCCATCCTTAAGACAAGGGCAATAACTCCAGGAAAATTGAAGGGGTACCTTACAAAAAAAAATTGTATAAAATCACAAACACAACCAAAAATGATGAAAATAGTATTTTCTGAAAGGAAAATGAATGAACTAAATTACTAGTACAAAATTATAAGTGGAATAGAAGAATATGAAATTATATGAGAGGTCTTTCTGAGATGCGTGTCTTGGATTCAGAGTAATCAGAGTCTAGATCTAGATCTCGTATACATTTCTTCAACTCACGAATTTTCTGCCACTGACAAAGAGGTAATCCACACAAAAGAAATACAACACATTCACAGAGATTGAAGCCTCTGGTGGAAACTTGAAAGCACCTAAAAGACTTTTCTTTGGGTGTTTTTATTTTGTTTCTGTCGTACTTATATCGGGCAGCTTTGCGCCCATGCATCCTAGAGACATGATGGCGTGTTTACAACTAAAATCTCCTCCGACTTTTGTGCCCGCTCAAAAAGTGACTCTTTGTGCTAGCGAAACAAGAAAAACACCATAGTAAACCGGAACTCTTCCTCTATAAAGATAGCTAAGTGAAACTTCTGATGATAGTAAAAGTAGAAGCAAAGAAACAAACACCCCCGTGGCGGGCGCTATAGGGATGAGCGGGGGTCACCGGCACGGGCGCATACGGGCTCTGTAAGTGCGAAACGGTTAATAAAACAAAGAAATCTGAATTGATAAGTTTACGGTGACTTAGGCTACACTATTTGGAGCGTCACCACCAGAATCACTAGTACTTGTACTAGTACAGTGGAATCCTGTTATAACGAGAGGGAGGGGACCGGTGCGAAATGTCCGTTATAGCAGGATTCTCGTTACAAGGGATCCAATTATAAATTCAAGGGAAATGATAAAGTAAAGTAGGCCTAATCTATGAGTTTGGCGCTCTGTTTATTCCTTTTTGTATTTCCCCTGATGATGACTTGTTCAACATGATCTCTAGGTCTTACTTGATCAAAAATCGAATTAGGTTTCTTTCTCTAGCACTAGCAATGTTGACAGCTGGGCGTTGGCGATCAGAAAGAAGGGGGTCTGGCTCTAAGCTAACTCGCCCGCTGTGTTGTCCCTCACCCCACCACACCCTGCGGTGCGTTGCGTCTGCTTGCGCACGTCACACATTCACTCCATCTATCACAGCATTGTGACTTCTCCATCCCACACCAGAGAAGTGAGAGGCACTGTATGCCTAGATAATCTAGACTAGGCTGGCCTATCACGCGATGCGTTCTGCTTGTCTGCGCATGCCACTCACTCCCCACTCATTTGCTCCGGCCTTCATCATTGTTGGTTCGCGTGGGCTCTCCCATTCTTAATTTCGCTGGATCACCAACAACTTTCTCAACTGGCAAGGTTTTATAATATGTAATTGGTCTGTGCGCTGTGCACAGCAGCAGCAATATTCCATTAAAACCGACTCACGTGACGGTCTGATGGCGCAATAGCAGTATTTTATTTACAAAGATAAAGAAGGAGAAAAAACTGGGTTTTAGAATAGTCTTTATAACAAACTTCTCGTTGTTTCAGGACTCGTTATAAGTGGACTCCACTGTACTAGTACAAGCTTGCTGTTGTCGACAGGCAATCTACCTCTTTCTCTCATCTCAAACTACCATCACTACCATAATTTTGCACTTCATCATCTGAATTCGAGTTCATTGAATCTTATGGATTCAGAATCTCAAAAATATTACGAGCCATCTTCAATTCACATTGGCAAAAGAATCACGTTAGCGTTTGGTCGACCTCAGCTGACTGACATTTAAAACCAAACCCAGAATTAGGACAAAGGGAACTCCTGTTCCAAAAATAGGCAGGACTTCATGGGAAATCATTTAATAAAGTGAAACTGCTCTGAGTGGTCAAAGGAATGTTACTCTAGAAACTGGGCTATGCCGTTGCTGCATATGTGATGGTTATTAGTAATACTGTGGAATCCTGTTATAACGAAAGGGAGGGGACCAAAGTAAAATGTCCGTTTTAGCAGGATTCTTGCTATAAGGGATCCAGTAATAAATTCAATGGAAACTGTAAAGTAGGCCTAATCTATGAGTTTGGTGTTCTGTTTTTACTTTTCCTATCTCCTCTGATGATGATTTTGTTTCAACATGACCTCTAGGTCTTGCTTGATCAAAAATCGAATCAGGTTTGTTTCTCTAGCGCTTGATCTAGCGATGTGGACTGACAGCTCGGCGTCGGCGATCAGAAAGAAAGGGCTCTGGGCTAACTTGCCCGCTGTGTTTTCCCCCCACCCCATCCCACCCTGTGGTGCATTCTGTCTGCTTGCGCACATCACACATTCGCTCCATCCATCACATTGCTGTGACCTCTCCATCCCCACATCGGAGAAGTGAGAGGCATGGTAGGCCTTGATAATCTAAACTGGCCTATCACTAGATGCGTTTTGCTTGTCTGCGCATGCCACACCCTCCCTACTCAGTTGCTCCGGCCTTCATTGCTGACACACGCAGGCTCTCCTATTCTTTGTTTCGCAAGATCAGCAACAAGTTTCTCAACTGGCAAGGTTTTGCATTATGTATAATTGGCCTTTGCCATGTGCACAGCAGCAGCAATATTCCGCTATAACCGACTCGCAATTGTGTCTGATAGCGCTATAGCAGTATTTTATTTACAAAGGTAAAGAGGAGAAAAAAACGGGGTTTTAGAATAGTGTCTTTAAAACAGACTTCTCGTTTTTTCCGGACTCGTTATAAGTGGACTCCACTGTATTAGTCTATCCCCGCAGAATTATGCAAATTTAGACGGCAAAATTATGCAAGTTACTGTAACACCATTCGCGACATGTTTTGCACTTTTTCAACAAGAATTTTCATGTTTTATGTACAGAAAAATTGAAAACAGAACATATCACTATAATCAGTATCTGTAATTTGTTGTGTATTTGGAAAGAAAACAATACACATCAGTCAGATTTTTTTTTTTTAAACCACCAAAAAAATATAATCTTTGTAACTTCCAGCTGTAGATCTAGATCTATAGAGAAAAGAAAAATGTTCCCTAAAAAAAATTTTTTTTAAGGACATCTGGAACTCTGATGCTGGCACATCACTAAAACCAGGGACACCTGTCAAACATGAAACAGCAGACATGAGAACAACTTTTGATGGATTGAAAAATTGAACATGCTGAAGGAACAAAATCCCTGACTGACACATAACCATCAAGATCTTCTAACAAGGGAAATAACCAACTTGTCACTTAAATGAGACTTATTACGTTGATTACTTCCCTTTAGTCACATGGCGAGGCGTTAATTGTTTTGAGACAAAAGGAAAGAAACATGAAAAAGAACGCAGGGAATCCAAAATTATGCAACCGCGGCCGCACAATAGCATATTCCGACGGGGACAGATTAGTAGAAATAAAGAGGAAAATATGCGACCGGCACGGGTGCAGTGCCTATTGACCGACATGGGTGCGGCAATGACGGTGAGTGAGTTATGCGGCCGGTGTAGATAACAACATTTACCTTTACCTTTCGCTTCCCTCCCTCCCTCATTCCCTTCTGCCAGTCTCTCACCTGTCGGAGTCTCTGCATATCGATTTCCGCCCGCCTCAACTTTTCCCAACAGAAGTGTTTCACACACTTCCTTTTTGGGGCACGACACAGCACGTCGCCTTCAGTGAACAGGTTGACTGGGATGGGGCAACCGCAGACAGCATCAGGGTTGACCTGCCAGTGAATCAATTTTCATGTTTAGTAAGCTTTTTTTGCTGCACTTGCTACACAATCAGGTCAGATATATATGTCTGGAAGATTAGAGGTGTTCCAACAAAGTAACAAACACAACAAAGAAATTGAGAGATTTATAAAGGAAGATAGATCATGTTTGATTGGAATGAAGGAGCATACCACACCAGAGCACCCGCCAAATACTCGCATTCAGTTTTCATTCATAGATTCAAATTCAGACTTAATTAACATTTTTGTGATAACTCTTCAATCACTTGTTAGCAGTATACAAAGACTTCCAAAGAAAAAAACCTCTACCATTGGAAGAAAACATTTTCCAAGGACACAACAAAAGTTTAACAACAAATTATAAAGAATAAAACTGAACACACAGCTTATGGACATGGCACAAAACAATTAAATTAATAAAGCATATACAACAGTCAGACCTCTGTAAGACGGCCACCCATTGTCAAGGAGAAAAGTGGCCGTATAAGACAGGTGGCTGTCTTAGGCAGGACTGATCAAGATGAAACAAACCCAATTCCCAATCGAAAGTAGCCGCATTATTGTTGTTTTTGTTGTTGTTGGTTTGTATTTTGTTTGTTATTTTTATTTTGTTGCTGATTTTGTGCAAGGGTGACAATAAAACGAAATGTATCAGACAAGGAGGACCGAGTGCTATGGTAAAACAAACATGTCGCCACCACTCGAAGAACGAGCGACGCTTCAGCAACAAGTCCATGTTGACGTCCATTGTTACTTTGTTACAGACTGGGTAAACAGTGACCACTCATCTCACTTACGATTTGTGTATGAGTTCTGGGCGGGGTTTATGGGTTATGAGGGATCACACGCTTCCGCGGCCGCGTTGGACAGGTGCCCGTTTTAAACAGTTAAATTATATCTAGAAAAAACGTAAGGGGGAAATGGAAAGTGGCCGTTTGTACAGGCCGTCAGGGCAGGTTCGACTGTATACATGGGAAGATTGAAGAGTCCAAATCTTATTGTGTCTAAAAACTAAAAATAGGAATTACAGTCAAACCTTGTTATACTACCACCTTTGGGACAAGCTCAAAGTTGGCAAAACTGAGAGAAGTGGAGCTAGGAGTTTGACAAGTCTCATCTGTTCAACTATAGAAGGGACAGCCTAAAGACAAGGGAAATGATTGTGGTGTGTGATCTGTATTTGAAAAAAGTGTCTCTTTGTTGGTAGTTTATGTAATGTAATAAGATCTCTCTCTCTCTCTCTCTCTCTGTCTCTCTCTGTCTCTCCCTCCCTCCCTCCCTCTCTCTCTCTCTGTGTGTGAGTGACTGTCACTCCTCAGGTCGCCTCAGACTTGTCACATAGACTCGAGTGTGATTCTTTAGAAATAAACACTTAACAGGTGCTCACACTCACAAGCCTGGCAATACAACTAGGGAGGGACAAAAAAGAACAATGTTTGACTATATCGATATGAACAGACATATAAACTTATCTTTTACTGTCTAAAATCTTATACAGAAAAGAAAAATCGATAGCAACTAATTTGAAAGCAGCACAAAGACCACTACAAATATAACTGATATGAGGAAAAATCAGAAGAAAAATAGAAACTAGCAGAGAACGAAAGTGATTCGATAAAGCCAGGTGGCATCTTCAGATTAAAACCATGCATTATTCAACCATAAACTTTTTTTTTACAGATCTATTATCCCAATGTATCCCCTGCTGATCCAAGTAGGCATACAGTTAACTGTACAACAAGGATGGAATTCAGAGAATGCGTAACCATCTTAACACATTACACCCTAACTCGCCCCGGAATTCCCTTACGCGCTCCACCCTGACTCGCCCGGAACTGACCGCGCCGACCTAGCGTCTTTAGAAACAAAGTTTCGTGGCCGTGATTTTGATTTGCATAGTTATAGCAAAAAGTTTCTTCTTTCGTTTGATACCGAAACGAAATTTTTCGGGCCAGTAGTTTTAGTATTAGAGCTGATCGAAGTGCGATCGCGTTACCGACACTTCGAAAGTGTCTCCACTTGTTGAAAAGCGACTCAATTGAATTCGAAAACGGAAATAACGATGGATTTGACCAAAAACAAGCACATGACAAATCAGATGGCTCAGATTTTGATGAAATTGTTGTTGGAAGAGTTTGGGGCGATTCCGATTGATCAGAAGGAGAAAATCTAGAATTTAGATCTAGGGCCTGACCGCGAGGCTGAGAGTGAGAGTGACGGGTCGGACACCCCGATTGAACTGAAGTCAGAACATTTCCAACAGTTTGCGCATACATAAAGTTATATTTTTCTGAAACTACATTCAGTTTTCTTTAAAACTTTTATTTTTTCAGGATTTTTGGAATTTGTTTAGTATTTTTAAAATGTGTTTAGGATCTAGGAATGGACTTCCCGTCCAGGCCTTTAGGGTGTAATGTGTTAAGCAAAGATCACACAGTACAGGAGTACAAAATTTGAAATGAAGAAAAGCCTATTAATAGGTACCAGAAACTAAATTTTCAAACTAGCTGTATGCCAAATTTATCTGTTCCATTTGAAAGGCCTATATCCACTGAGCATTTTGGTACCATTCTTTAACATCTCCGTCAATTTTTAAGAAAATTGTAGTTGTTTAAAATTTGATCAAATTTGTTAAAGTTAGTCACTGGCTGCAACCCCATGTTTGACAGACAATGAAAAAGTAACAAGTCCACTAAACATCTCCACATTAACAGAGTACAATCACTATAACAAATATATGGAGCATAATTTTTTTCAAGACTGTGAGATCATTACAAATCAGTACTTTATCACCTCAAACACGATATCTGTGGTTATTTCGACAAAAACACCGAGCGTTGACCCGGCCGGCGTCGCATCGGCCCCCGCGGTGAGCAAGTCGGCTCTATACTGTAGTGTACCCCGCGTGCGGGGTCACATGCTTTCTGAGTCTCGCGGAAGGATTGATGTAAAATAATTCCAATTTAATTACTTTATTCTAATAGGAAATGAACTGATCTTTTAATTAATCATTTTTATAAGCCGGTATTTTCCATATTTTGTGTAAAAAGTGATCTTCAAACATTTTGACGGTATTTTTAAAAGCTTTCTATAAAGACACCAAAGGCTAAACTTATATCACAGGAAAGCCTGTTTAAAGCTCTACAGTTCTCCGCCAATGAAAAGACGGTATTTAATCATCCCTCATTCCGCGAAGCATTTGAATGCACGCGAGTCAATTTTTCAACCGGCCGACCTCGCATTCTGACCGCGAGGGACTTCGCTTTCGTCGGCGATTCTCCAGCTCCTAATAATTGGACATATAAACAACTTACACCATTGTAACGAGGAAAAGCTGAACTTTTACAAGGTGTACGGCATTTGGTGTTTTATAGCGAAAGAGCAAAGAAATAGCGATCGGAATTAACCCGATTTTACCGATACCACGCGGTCGGAAGGCCGAGAGTGCCCGCGAGGCCGTGTTTACGCTACCTACTATTAATACGTTCGGACTATTCACCAAAGGATGGAGGTGAGGGAGAGATAAAGAGAAACAAAACCCAAAATTATCCCATCATTTTAGAAAGGGCTTTGGTACTTCAGGCCTACACTTACCTTAGGCTCCTTTGTGTGTTCAGGACACAGAATTTTCAAACGTTTACAGTACATCTTCTGCTGAGGGTTGTAGAAGTCACAGAACATGGAATTTCCTTCAATGCGGGTCTTGTAAATGGACCAAAAGGAGGTTTGCGCCTCAAACTGTAAAAGAGAACAACAAAAATTACTGGAAAAGTTGCCCACCTAACAACCTGCCACTCTGTTCAACACATCCTTCTTCAAATAAAAAGGACAAAACGTATTGTTCAGATCCTGCCTTGTGAACACACTGAATAAACTTGAAAGAAAGAACGTGTTTGAAAAACAAATACTTACCAAGGTCTATATCACAAGCAAACACTACCCTTGAATGTGAATAACAACAAAGCAGAACAAAACTTAAATGATTCCAGTTTCTAAAATTGTCAAAGTCAGAAAAGCAGTAAGTAGAATGACCATCGCTGTGGTAAAAGTTGTAAGCTTCATAACGTCTTGATTCAAGCCAGGACACCCGGTCTTTCAAACACAGACATTTTAAACAGAGGTTACACTTTCCTGTTAAAAAATACAATTCAATGGACTTCCCTTTCATACACATCACATTGAGACAAGGGTTTGGTTGGAGTTATTTATTAATATTTTCACATAATATAAAAGGCTATGTATCTCACACCTTCAGATAGCACTTCTCCATGTGTCTGAGGGCACCCTTTTGACTGACTTCACTACCACAAGTCACACAGTAAATGCTCAGCTCTGTGTCCTCATCCTGCTCAGCACCCTGTTTAATGAAGAAAGAAAAAATGGAAATGATGCAAAATGCAGAGAAATCCTGTAGCAAATCATTTAAAAGATACAAAACAAAATGAGTTTTACATCACATGAAAAGGAGTCGTAACAACCTTTTCTGTTCTATATTACCGGTAATGAAAAAAATATATCTGCATGGGAGTACAGCTTTAATTTCTTTGTTGTAGCAATAAGTGGGGCAAAGAATAAAAAAAATATGAGAGCATTATTAACCAGGTTAGCATTTAGACAATCAATGCTTTTTTTTTCTAATTCTGTTGAGGAACACTTTGCCCCTTTCTTCTCCCCCTCCCCCCCCCCCATAATAATCATGTAATCATGTCAAAACCTTTCACCCAAATTACTAAAAGCAATAGTGGCTACATTCACAATTAATTCAAGTAACTCTTTTGTTAACACTTTGAGGTCACTTGGCGTATTAATGTGTTGGTGAAAATTATCCGTTTTGGTCACCTGGCGCAGTTCTGCGTCAGGCCCGAGAAGTCTGTTGCAGTCATTCTCCTGGCTGGGTGACTAGATGGGGTTCTCTGTACTGCTGGCTGTGTGACTATAAACTGTTAACTCACTTGCGACTGGGCCCTTTCACCAGTCACAAGCGTTGAAGACTGGCGTTTTGGGGGGTATTTCAATAAATCACCACAACTCTCAGAATTACCCTATTGTAATCATTTTTTGACACAGTAAAGTAAAATTCAAGCTTAATCTAATACAAAAAACTAAAGTTGTCTAAGTCTAATACTTTAATTTGTATGATATTTTAAAAATTGGCATGAATTTGATTTTCGAAAAATTTCCAGAGACGTGACAAGTAGAATGAAATTCACTGCAACAACAAAAATAAAAGTTCAAAGTGTTCTGGTTTGATTTGTATACATGTGCAAGTGTTTGGTGGAAATATAAAAGCTGGTCTGTGAATTGATTCAGACCCATACACTGAATTACATGAGACAGATGTACGGCACGACGTTGTGATTTCGTTGCGCGAAAAACAACACCGGTACTAGTGCTAGATCTAGCCCTAGAACTACGACTCGGGCCGTGTTCGGGTACATATCCAGGATCCTAACTATTAGACACATCATATTCTGAGACACTAGAACTAGTAAAACGCACAGAAGTATAGAAAACGGCGAAATTATGTGATTCTTGTTCATGCGATTTCTTCGACCATTACTACGACGCGACTGTCGGATTACTATGAGCTGTATAGAAAAAAACAAAGCGCGAGTTCCGGTCTGTTCAGCCCCAGTTGGGGTCACTGTCCTTCACCTTCAATAACTTAAAAACTACCGGCCCCAGAGATACGAAACGAAGTCTAAGTAGCTCAGGCTTGGCCAAACACGGGTCTCGCGATCCGTGCGTGATTTGTAGAGCGAAAAAAAAATTCCAAAGTTGGTCACGCAGGGCTTGTGAGACCCGTCGCGAGCGTCATGGCGGGGGTCACGCAACTGTTGTGTGACCCGTCTGAAGTGAGTTAAAATACATCACAGTCACTGAAATCTGCAAAACTACCTTTCAGAAAATAATTGAATAGCCTGTGACAGATACCTCTCTGGAATAATAATATAGCAATCGGAAACTGATCACGCTGACCACACACCTCCTGTTCTGCCACCACAGAGAGATGTTTTCCTCGCTCCACTAGGGCATCCAGCTCTTGAATCTTCAGGTCCAGCTGGCGGAGTTTTAGTCGAGCCTCAATCGTTTCTTGACGCAGTTGCTCTAAAAGTTTTTTGTTGTTATCTTCTCCAACACATGGACTGCTGTGCCACTGCTGAATTCTGGACGGTAGGATTTCGTAGATACGGCTGAATGATAAAAAAAACATTTTTAAGAAAAGGCAATTTGATTCCATTTCGAGCCGTTGTCTTCAAACATGAAATCTACAGACATGTACATCAAAAGCCCTAATGAGAAATAAGATATTCATGCAAATGTGTTTACAAAGGATAAGGTGATAAATAGTTTACATTACAGGTCAAATTCTTAAGAAGCTGGTTAGCTCAGAAAATTAAGTCTGTGATAGGCAACAGCACAAGAAATAGACTTTAGAGACCATCCATAAAAAAATATATTGATAGAATTAAAAAGGTCTTAAAATAAATATAGACATAATACTGAATAATAGTAATTTTAGTGAACAAAAATCTTCTGCTTTGTCTCCAAATTTCCCCACTCTGACCATCAACTAGCTTCCAACGCTTTTTTTCACTGAAAACAAGACAAACGAACCAGCTTTAAGATGATACCAATACCTCCACATGCCCCAAATCTGACGAGCGCCTGATTCCACCGTGTCGTGACACAAATCGTTTATTACATTACACTGGTCAACAATGAAAAAGACTTGAAAAAAAAAGATGTTGAATCCTATGGAATTTGATAAGCTGATTCCAAATATGTTGTGTGACAGTGATGGTCAAAAACAGCAGTGTACCTCTTTGCTAGCTTCATCCCGCACTCATCTGAACAATATTTGGAGCCAAGCCTGGCCGGCTCTATGCACGCTGGGCCATAGCACTGTCTGGGCATGTCGTCATCTGTTTCAAGAGCATCATCAACTTCTGTACGTCTCCTTGATAAACTTGACTTCTGACGACTTTTCTGTGAATTAATAGCACACTACAGATCGTCAAGACCATGCAGTGAATATGTCTTTTTTAAACATCTGAGCACAAATTAATATGATTTAACTGACAAAAAAATTACAGCAAAGAAATAAGAGGCAAAGAATCTAGGGAAACTTGGAAAAGTCTGCAGACTGCTACAATGTACTGCTGTGGAAAAACCATCAGGGCACAATTCACAAATCTATCCAACTGTTATTTCATTATTACCCCAAGAAAAAGTCAGAGCGAGGCTTAAAGCAAAACATCCAACATGCACGGTCAGCTGACAAAGGTGGTTTTCTTCATGAGCAATATCTTATTTTAACATTGTTCCACCTCTCAATTAATATACGATAGCAGCATTCAGCAACAGGACAAAGAGCTCTCTAATACTAACTACAGCACAAGACAAAGTTTTCTAATATTTTTTGTCAGTGAAACAAACTAACGTTGATGAAACTAATTCCTGCATACCTAACAAAAATTAAACATTTCATTACCTGAGGCTTTTCCGGTGTTTTCTTGCCTTTTTCTTTACTTTTCACCTTCTTTTTATCTTTCTTTTTCTTTGGAGATGCTTCAGACGAGCTTGTTCGTCTTTCACGTTTCTTCGGTGCCACTTTGACATTTTCATATGCCTCTTCCTCGTCAAAGTCATCTCTACAAGACAAAAGAACAGAAAAACATATTTAACAATGTGAACAGAAATAAGGACAAAAAATATCGCTCATTAAGGACATAACTTCCACTGAAGCAATTTCAATTTCTAGGATATTCAATCTAAAGCTTAAACCAAATCTTGACCAGAAGGCTACATCCCAGTGCAAAAAAAAATCCCTACAGACAATATCGGACACTTCTTATTAGATGACACTTCCATAATATTGTCATGCAGCGCCGTATATATAGCTGCTTCACAATGCAATTTCTGTTTTTGAAATACAAATATCTTATGGGAAGTCAACATCCTGACTTGTCAAAAGAATTCATGATCTCCAATGATAAGTGCTGATTCAAAGTGACAAGGCCAATAAGGACAAAAACACAATAAGAAAAAAATTCTAATAAGCACCATCTAGTCATAAAATTATAACAGACTTCAACCCTGCTGAATGAGATAAAATTTAGACAAATACAATACTTTGGTGACTTAAAATGACATGAGACCATCATGAAAGAGGTGCTTGAAGGAGGGATGTGGGAGCTTTACTTTTTTTTTAGTAAGGTTTTATAGTGCTCGCAACTGCATAAGGTCATATGAGCGCCAAGGGGTGGATGTCAATAGAGAAGTCCAAACTGGGAATCAGGCTTACTCTGCTCACCTCTCTAGCCTCAACAGCACAAGGTCTGCTTCGAATATCAAGGCACCCCGGAAAAAGCAGTTCACAAGAGAGTGACAAATACACAAAAGAAGTAGAGGAAAAAATGACGATAGTAAGGATGAGTAAAGACAAAGCAGCAGTTCCCCCTATGTTGTTGCGGCACAGTATGAGCATGATATTGATAAATCAGCCCATTTGCAATTCTACTGTGCATAAGAAGAACATGTTTACATCCCCCTTTTGGGAATAGCCTAAAGACAACTTCAGTCAGTGGCACTGCCCTGGTGGGGGCAGGAGAGCCAGGGGAAGACGAAGAGTAATATGGATGGACATCATAAGAAGATGGATTGGCCTGGCTATAGCAGGGTGGAGGTTCCTTATACGTCAACCTCTGAGTCAGAGATGACACCTCCAGGTATAATAGACTTCATCATATCTCCAATTAAATTACAACAAACATTGTTTACAAAAAACTGTAACACCACAGCTGTAAGAACTCACTCAAAGTCAGACAAATCAGTAACTGCTCTTTCTGAACCAGTGTCCGTGGCAACAGATCCTTTATCGCTTGTGGAGATTCCCTGGACATAAAAAAAAAAGAAAGTTAAAAAACATCTCTTCTAAATTGCTTTCAACACTTGGTTGGGTTTTTAACTTCACAAAAAAATGGATTTTGTTTCTCTGTGAAAATAACTAATTTCTAAGCATTATGAGGCATGTATAAGGTGAAGTTTGACACAAGCAGAGAAAGACCACAAAACCCCAAATATACAGCATATATTGGGCCAAGTACAATCTCACAGGTTCAGTTCCAAGCCCCCGAACAGCTTCCATTACATTCTTTTAGAAGATGTCAAAACGTATTTGTATTTATTCTTTTTTAAAAAGCAACAATTTTTAACAGTGTGAATTGTAGTAATGACAAAAGCTATCGCTCAATAAGAACACAACTCCACCTTGAAGTGCATTCAAGTTCTAGAACATTTAAAGAGTACAAAGAAAAGAGTTAACCATATATCCAAGTGCAAAAATATCCTTTGAGACAACATCAATAACTATAACCATATATCCAAGTGCAAAAATATCCTTTGAGACAACATCAATAACTATAACCATATATCCAAGTGCAAAAATATCCTTTGAGACAACATCAATAACTATAACCATATATCCAAGTGCAAAAATATCCTTTGAGACAACATCAATAACTATATCACAATATCTAGGCTTTAGCCTAGCATCTGCGTTTGTTGCCATTATTTTTTTCCAAAAGTAGCCCAAAAAATGGCAAAAGTTGCCATAAAAGTTGCCATTAATTTTCAAACTTTCAACTCTCGGTGATGACGCATAGCAAATGTTGATAGAGGCAACTTCATCTAAAACACCAGAATTTCTTTTGCTCTGTTTTAAGCATCCAGAATATCATTTGCTGCATTTTGCAGCCACGCAGTAGTTTTAGTGGAGGTTTTACGGTGCTCGCAACTGCAAAAGGTCATATGAGCACCAGAAGAATAGAGGTGTTACAAGAGAGTATCAAACATAAAAAAGAAGAAGGGGAGAAAAGGACGATAGATGTTTCATAGGAAAGAATAAGCAAACTACACCAGAGCACCCGCCAACCACCCACACACTGAGCATTAAAACGTGAAAAATAAAGGTTTCACAACAGAATGAAATCAAAATTAGAACAGCAAATAAACAACCACAAAAATTAACAAATAAGGGCGTGTGTCAACCCGTCCATAGACTGGCTGTTTTAACCCTAAATGCATATAATTCAAGAAAAAGTACAGGATCTAACATGTAGATCATGGAATCACACACAAGGGGCCTGCCAGTGTCAGAATTCGTTTTTGGAGGAGACACGCTGTAATTAACATAACACATTTTTTTTAAAAAGGTAGGAAGAACATTACGTTATATAAACACACACAAAAATGGAAAATCAACACATTGGAACAATAACGAGAAAAAAATTAATTAACACACCAACAAAATAAAACACAACAAAGAGGGAAACATGAAAGAGAAACAGCAATATAAATACAGTAGTCTCCGCTTAAGATCCCGGTGCTCGGGAGCAAAGAAATGCGGGATCTTAGGCGAACCGGGATCTTAACCGACGAACCCAGGAAAGAATCTATGGTGACCCATGTTAATGCTCACAATCGGTAAAATGGTCTCCCTCCACTCTAAAATGAACTGACGTGACCCCTTGGTGGGTTTATGGCATATGGCGAGCGAAGAGTGGTTAACCTTGATGACCTATCAAAGTGCATAGTGGGATGAGGCGTGCCATTTTCACTTATTATCCTATTATGAGTCTCAAGATCTACGCTTATCCAGTTGCCCATCCCCTTTATCTGCTGAAAATTTATAGCTTTCCATCTCTGACCGTGCCCCCCCCCCCACCCCCCCAACCACCTTTTTCGTTACACCCCATTACGTTGTGAACACACCAATCAAAATTCAGTCTGTCTCGCAAATTCGGGAGTAGAGACAACGGCTGCAATGGTCAAGGAAGAGTTCACGGTTCGATGTGATCCTGCCTGGAGGGAATGTGTAGGCCCTACCCTCCCAACAAGTGATGTAAGTTTAGGGGGAAAGCTCAGGCATGAGTGCGATTCGTGGGGAAAACAAACGTGTTGGTCAGTTCACACCCCAGTGTGATTCCGTCTGGGGCAAACATTGTATCGCTTCATCGAGTTTTACAACGTGTATGTGATCACATTCACGATAGTGGCTGATCTTTGGCGGGAAAGACAGTTTATTGATCTAAACTTTTCACTCTTGGCTGTCCCGCCCGGGTTTTTGTTCCGCAAATTATGATCTGAAATGCGGGATCTTAGCCGAATGTAGACCTTCAAAGTGAATCAGAGAGGGATCTTAGGAGTGACTTTTGTATAGCAAAAATTATGTTTTCTTAAAACAGCGGGATCTTAAGCGAACAGGGATCTTAAGCGGTGGAATCTTAGGCAGAGACCACTGTAGTATGTAATGTAGCCTATTTATATTCTTCACAAGAAAATTACAAATCAACGTTGTGTTAACAAGTGAGAAAGAGACGAAGTGAAGCGAAAGTGAAAATAAACTTTCTTTCTAAAAGTAAAGAGATTTGGTTGGGGGGTTTTTTCACGAATATTATTCCCAGTTTTCGCTGCTGTTGTTTTTAAATTTTTTTTTCTTTCTGGCGGTGATATATTTGTAGGAAAAATGCAAAAATCGCGGCCGCGATTCGCGGGTACAAACGCTGATGCTAGTTTAACCCACAAGTAACAAGCTGGAAGAGAGTCAGTCAGTGAGCTATGCTTCATTTTACAAGAAGCAACTAATTACTTATTATGACTTCAAAAAAAAAAAACAGCTAGGAAAACGAATGTAAGGCTAGCTCTGTCAGTAAGGAACAATAGACAAGCACACTCACATAGTTCGTGCACTGCCGGAGTCTACACTTCTGGCGCAATTTGTTGATGCCTCCAAACTTTCTCATGTCCTGCAAGAAATGGGGAAAACAGGAAAGCAATGATAGTATCATCCAGCTCTTTCAAGAAATTATTTCTTATTGGATTAAAACCATTAAAGTGAAAACAAGGAAAGAGTCCAAAGGTGCCATAATTAAAACTTCGAAACTTGAAAGTAAAAACTGTAGTTTTGAGAAATCACTCAGGATAATATTAATAGAGCCAACAGCTGGTCCGTTTTCATGATGTTTTTTCCTCAAAAAGAACCTGTAAGTGTTTCCAGTTGAAACAAATGCATTTAACACCTTGCAGTCACACAATCAGCAGTACAAAACACCCCATCTGGTCACCCAGCCAGGAGACCGACTGCAGGGGACTTCTCGGGCCTGGCGCAGAAGTGCGCCAGGTAACTGGAACGCATAATTTTCACCAGCGCATTATTGCACCAAGTAACTGCAAAGTGTTAATTAGGTTCATTTTTCTGCCCAATGAATTTTTAAAAAATGAAACAACAAAAACAAAAACTTGTCACACTAAAACATAAGTAATAAAATATTTTCACTAAACAAATGAAGGAGCTCTTGGGCTTAAAAAAACATCTAAAAAAAAATTTAATTAATGGCAAGCAAAAGACAACTATCCATAAGTATCTCTATTCGCGTACTTACCTTACAGAAATCACATCTGCCACAGTCCTCGTTCCTGTGACAAGCACTGCATTCACCACATCGTCGGGTCGTCCGACTTTTTGCCATCTGTAAAAGTGACATTGGAAGAAAGAATACACATGTCATTTTTCTTTTACTACAAAAGGCATTTTAAGGGCATCAACTCAAAACTTATTTTTAGTAAAAGCATACTGCTCTCAAACAAAGAGATAAGAAAAACCAAGCAACACAAAGATACTCTTTAAACAGCAAAAAATACTTTTCCAACTTGGGGCAAATATATGCTGAAATAGCATTTTCAAGAAAAGTTAAGAATCTTGGCATCTATTTTGATTCCAGTTTGTCAATGTCGGCTAAGGTAAATCATCTGATCAGCTGCATGTATTTAGAAATAAGAAAAATTAATAAAATATGTCATCTGATCAATACTACATATACTGCTTTACAAGTTTTATCAAGACTTGATTATTGTAACTCCTTGTTAGCAGGAATATCACTGGAGAAAGTTAGCAGACTTCAAACAGTCCAAAACAATGTAGCACGCTTAGTTTTATGGAAAAGAAAACGAGACTCTGCTACACCTCTTTTACAGACATTGCATTGGCTTCCTGTTGAGAAAAGAGCTGAGTACAAGTTGGCCAACCTATATCACAAATGTTTGAATGATAATGCGCCATCATATTTATTAAGACTGTACATTCCAACTCCCAGTTTAAGGTCATCAGCTGACAAAAAGAAATTTCTTTAACCATCTATGAAACTTTAAACAATGGGTGAAAGAGCATTTGAATATCAAGGCCTCAAGATCTGGAATGCTTTGCCAAGTACTTTAAGAGATATCAAATCTTTTGATGCATTCAAATGTCAGATGAAGTCATCTGTTTTTAAATTAATAAGATGAATATTTGGAGTGACTTTCTTTGGGGCAGAACGTTTTGTTACTGTAGTACATTGTATTCTATTGTAAAGTGCTCAGAGCCTGTGTACTTTATCGGGGCTGAGCACTTTATATAAATGTCATTTATTATTATTAAGAATATAAAAACTATTTGTATAACTTTCAAAGTTTGATTTTTTTCCCTGAGAAAGGGGAGGGGGAAACCATTCTTCTCTGAAATAATGAAAAGCTGACATAGAGGATTGAAGTAATTAATGAGAGGAGTAAAGTACTGGGTCTCCAGTACCAGATTCGGGATGTTGACATTTCTCGTGTAAGCAACAAACATAAAGCCTATTGTTTCTTGAAACTACAAAGATTTAAATATTCTTTTAGGGAGAAATTCTGTTAACAGAGAAAAAGAAATAGAATAAAAAACAAATTGTGACCATGGTACAGCTTTGTGTAAACCATTTAAATTGTGATAGATACTTTTATATGCTTCTTGGAAAAAGAAAGTGATTGTGTAACACATTCCATTTGAAAAAAAAAATGATCTGATTCAGCTCAATATTACCATATTATTATTATGAATATGATTACATGAACGAGAAATAAGTTCAGCAGAAGATCCAGTACAGAAGAAGAGTTAACAACGGCCATACCATTTTCTCCCTCAGCTTCGACCTGTATTCTTTGTGATGCTTGTCAAATCTCTCCTGGTCACTGGATTCACTCACTCTCTTTTCCTTCTTTTTGTTTTTGTACTGAATTTCAAGACTGGGATTCCGAGCTAGCAAAGACACATCAGACCATTTTAAAGAACATGAGAGGCATGACACAAACCGATCTAAATAATCAGATTTCAAAATGGAAATTTGAACATTACTTCATTAACAAAACAGAAAATAGCAAACCAACTGATAGAAGAATACTAGTTGTGTAATCATGAAAGAACATAGATTTCAATCCCCAGGAACATTAAGGCAATAGATATAAAGAACAGACAAAACGAAAGAAATTTATACAATATCTCACTCACTACCAGCCATTTTCAGGGTCATTATTCCCTGTGTACCAGCCATTTTAAGGGCAATTTTTAAAATTCACTGTGCTTTTGCTAATTAACATAGAGACTTGAAATTTGAAACATTGTTTTTTAACATAATAAAGATTGCCCTGGTGAAATAACAACTTTGTTTTATGGTGACCTTTTTTTTCACAAGTTTTCAAAAATTGGTCAAAAACTGTTTTCCCTTTGTGTTTCTTACTCAAGCCTTTTCCCACTACTGCAACCCTAGATCTAGGTATTGGAGGCCCTACTAAACCTTACTCTTCTTTGCCTACTTTGGTGGTTCGTAAGAAGGATCATTAATTTCCCCACCCAGTCCTTCATAACAATCTTCGACCAATTCATCGATTTCCGAGTTACTTTCGCAGTCAAAGTTTGAAAACTGTCAAAGACAAGCAATCTGCCATTGTTGGAAACGTAATGGTAAATTCAGTTCTAATGGCGGTTGTCATAAAAGTCATTAACTCAACTTGCGCTCATCTGATTTCGTTTCGTTTGTTTCTAATGAAAGATAACTGAATGGGATAAGAAAAAGACGCACCAGTACCGCAAACAGTGCGGTTTTAACGTGAGAAAAACATTCCAAAGAGTGAAACCGCAAGGGTTGAGGGTGTGGTATCATGGCGTCGGAGCTACTTTTATCCACAACAGTTGCGGGTGTGGTTGCGGGTGAGACATTCCATTTTCACATATCATTATTAAAAAACACAAGGGGGGGCAGGGAAGGAGAAATTGATTTCTTATTATTTCCAAACGATAGTTGCATGGAAAAGTAAATAGTTATTCTTCATCATGAACTGGAATATAACGCTTTAGAAAAATTAAACACCCTTTTCTGTTCCCATTTTGAGTTTTCAATTGTTAAACTGCAGCTGGAACATCAGGAAAGACAAAATACAGAGATAAATCAATCTTGAACTGTTCAGTTGTCACATAAGTACCTGCTGATTACACACACATGCTATGTCAATTTGCAAATTCATGCAGCACACTTACCTCGACATGCATCACAGTAGTAACGCTTAATGGACCTGGCATCCAACTGGGTCACACCTATACAGTCACCATGGTACCATTCTTCACAGTGATCACATCCACTGAGAAATAAAAATCCAAGATGTTCAGACAGTAGCACTTGTACAAAAACAAAAGTAAAAGTATAAAAAAAAGCTTAAACAGGTCACAGCCACAAATTCTTAAAGAAACAAACAACAAAATAAAATGCACAAGTGCACTACATATATTAGAAATTCGAATACCTTTTAATATGAAACTTTCACTTTTGTGATTAACAAGGCATCAATGATTCATTTTCTGAGTTTTTCATGTACTTATGCACTGAAGGTAAATCTTTCCAAAAGTCTTGTTTGTGTGAGACCCTTCTTTCAGACTTTGCCACATTCATAAACCAAACAAGATGTAAGCAAGGCATACAACGTGTACATTTAAATTTAATGCTTTCAGTGTAATCTGGACAGGATACACAATGCGAAAAGATTTTGAAGCAGTAAAACTAGAACTGAAGACTATATTTCATTCATGGATAAGCAGGTTTGAGGTACAGGACTCAAACAAAGACTAGTAAAGACTCACATCATAAACCTTTCACAGTCTGAAGAGCGGCAGATACAGTACAGGGTGTCCCCGACATCACCAGTGGCTTGCTCCATGGCTTTGATCAGTAAGTTTACTTTAGCTTGTCTTTCCGGCAGCACAAACTTATGAGCAATCTCCCCCTTTTTCTCCTTTTTCTATAAAAGACAAAGTTGAAAAAAGGAAGCACATAAAAATCATAACAATATTAACGACCACAATCAGCTCTTCATTTTCCAGTTCTATCTTAACATTGACAATCTTTATAAATTGAATGAATATATTCTGATAATCTCAAGTTTTGCTCGGAAGGGGGGGGGGGGGTTGAGAAAAAGAAATATTGTATAAAAATTGTTTTAAAGTGTCATATTAAAACTAGTATTGCATTTTAACTGCCTAGCCAACTATGTCTATCCTGGGTTACTAAACGGGGAAAAAAACTCTGATTTAATTCATTTCATCATATTCTCAAACTGTAAGGCACAGTAAACATACACTTAGCTATTCTAAACAGAACGCAAGAAGTAAGTGTATGCAAAACACTTGCTTTCCCCCAAAATCAAACTTTCTGATTGGCAGTGTAAATCATGAGTAAATGCATCATAATGAATTTTTAATACTAAATGGTCTTTACTACAATACTCGTTTGAGAAGCATAATAAACGTGAACATTACTTTTTTTAGCATCTTAGCTTTTTAGCCTAAGCTGGGGGGTTTTCTGTCACTGCAAAAATGTTAAAGTAATCCCTCCGTCTTCATACACACTTCTTGACCAAGAGCAAAACATTTGGATTATAATGGTGTTGATGATAAGTCTTTCTGAAACAAGATACCAGTGCCATGATAGTAGAGAGGCTCAACAAAAACAAAGGGAAGTATATTTTACTTCCACCCCACTCACTGTTTTTTCCTTTCTGGGTGCAGTGGCAGGCAGTAACACAGAAGATATATGACAAGCCCTTTACCTATTAACGCACATAGTACATGTACACACAACTTTTACTTTCAACTCAATTTTGTGAAACTTTTTTTTTTTTTTTTCAAGTGACAATTCCCCTCAGATCGTATAATATACGAAAGAGAGCACAGAGCCTTCCTTCAAAAGAGATGTATGATTATTATGTGAGTTAAAAAGAATTTTGGGGCTCTCATAGTCTAGAGGTTCGGTGTTCACCTCTCAATCAATAGGACCCGGGTTCAAAACCTGACAGCGAGCAAACATTTTCTCCTCTCTCATCTTTTCCTGGTCTCTAGTCCTATTCTGTCACCTGCTTTCACCTTCACTTCCTACCCGAGCCTTCTCATGGCTTTCTCCCCCTTTAATCTTCACTCTTCATACTGTTCTCCCGGTTCCTTCTTATTGCTGTCTTTCAGACATACCTCTGATCTTACGGCAGGTAAGATCTAACACCTCTAACCTTCTCGGATAAGGGCAAGAAAATCTCAGGAGGTCAAGTGAGCAGGTTGCCCACGTTAAAGATACCTATAAAATTGGTCTTAAAATTAATAAGAAGAGTAGACTTTGTTGGCCACCACCGAGGCAAAAAATCAAAATTCAATAACTGAAAATACTCTTCTAATCACTTGTTCGTGTATAAAAACATGAGAGTACTTCCAAACTCAGAATGAGGCTGCCAGATGGCGAGGGGCCCTACAAGTGGGAAAAATAATCATATAGGCCTAAAAACCAGTTGCATTGCAGGTACAAGAACTAGCAATCAATTCCCCTCAGATCTAAATCTAGCAGGGGAATGCAAAAAGAAAGAGAAGAATTTCAAAAGGAAAGGGCAAAAGTGATAATACCCTCCAACTGAATTAATTATTGTTTTTAATGTTGTTAAGAGAGATTCCATGATGAAGCCCACACTAAAGGTATAGCCTGTTGGGCTAGATTATATCAAGACCCACCTAAGACAAGATACCAGTACTATTTTATTGGGGAAGCGGCACGGGTGAGAATAAAAATACGAACACCTCTAATCTCGGGTGAGACTTGCCAGCATTGGCTATTCTCACCAGGTGTAAAACAAAACCTGTTTTTCCTTATAATTTACTGAATACTGTCTATCGGTGTGGCTGATCGAATTGACAAAAACAAAGAAACAAACGATGTTATAGCACAAAAGTAAACTAATTTGGTCGTCTACAAAGACTTTGGCCATTTCACTTTTCGAATCGAGCCGAACTACGCCGGTCGCCATTTTGTTTTGCCCGAAAGTTCTTGCTACTCTCTCTCTCACTCCATCTCTTTCTCCCCTCTCTCTCACTCACTGCCTGCAGCCAAAATTGCACGCTTTCAACACAAGAGCGCTGGAACCTTTGTTGATTACACTGGTATCACGGTGAATGTACACCGGATGAGAATAGCCAAAAGGCTCGCCCTCTCACCAAGAGTGATCGGCCTGAGTCGATGACCTAAGCTGTGAACACACACCAAGTGAGAATAGCCAAAAGGCTCACCCTCTCATCCTGGATGAGAGACCTACAACTGCACTATTCTAGAGGTGGCCTTTTACTTTTATAGGACAGAGAATTGAGAATGCAATCTTACAACCACAAATTGAAAGGAAAGACTTCCGTAACGAGCGACCACCCCAACAAACACTATAAAGAATAAAGAAGCGACCTAACCCTGACCCAAACCCTACTCCTACACATTCCAATCTGTCTCATAGTGGTCGCTCGTTACAGAAGTCCTCCCAATTGAAAGGTACAGTACGTAGACATAGATTCTAGATTTAGACTCTAGATCTAGATTAGTAGATCTTTAGATCTCTAGATTTTATATTGTGGTCATCTATCTACTTTTGTAGTTGGATTTGTAGGACACATTTTAATTGTAGGCCTCCATGTAGCTATTGTTTATCATTGTTTATACAAACTAGAATCTAGATTATATCTAGTCTAGATCCAGATCTATACTTAGATTTAGACTTAGCCTTTACTGGCCTATTAGCCTACTTATAAAATTTTAATAAAACTAAAATACATTAAAATCATTTCATTTGATTTGTATCATAGTATCATACCAAACCAGTGGCTCACCACATCCAGTCCAGACAATGCTCACTCTAACTCTAAGGATAAAAATGTAACAAATCTTCTGCTATTTTGAACTAATTTCCACTCAAACGGTGTTCTCAATCTGGTTTTTTGTATCGCATGCACAACCGGTTGCACTATGAATTACAGTCGATTAGTATTGAACCTCCACTGGCAACTATTGCACATGAAAAAAACAAAACAAAACGGGGTTCATATCCGCTTAACCTCTACCAAATAAGACGGAGCGCTCTTTCTTGAATTTTGATTTTTCTTGACATCTGCCCTTTAATCTAAAATCCAAAATTAATTAATGTCTAATACTATCTCAACTTACCGATGTATGTTCTGTACCACCTTCAGCCATTGTAAAAGATGCGTATTGTCTTAACAGCCTCACAAATCAAATAATAAGTGCCAAAAAATAGCCTGCTGTATTTCGTGTTGTTCATACAATGACGACGGAAGCGCTTCCCCTCGGCTCGGCTTTGGACAGGGCAAAAAGAGAATGATAATTTTACTCTCCGACAACGAAGAGTTCTTGAGCCCGTCGTTGAGAAACAGGGTCACTTAATACCTTCGGTAAAGAAAAATACATTAATGTGTGCGCAAAGGAGTACAATTATTGTAAAGATACGTTCGCCTCCGAGTACAGAATTTTCTTCCATTTGTAATAAATACAAGTCATATGTGTACATGTTCATTGAAAGCGTCATACCGTGGCTTAGATGCTCAACCTTTTTCTAATCTCGGGCCTACGAGTTTCATACTGAAAGAGTAGAGTAGAGGATTCTGAAAGAACTAAAGAAATCAACAGGAGACATCATACAGGATAGCATGCAATTTACCTATTGTGCCAAGATGGGCGTAGAGGATGCCATTCTTTCGTTCTTAGATAACAACTTTAAACTCATAGACCCATCACGGAATTACCTCAGGATACTTTCTGCTGATTTGTCATTCGCCGTCAACACAATCCAACTCCACATAATGGTTTCAAAATTAATAAACATGAAAACAAACAAGAACATGGTAGGGGGGATTCTTGATTTTTGTACCCAACACCCTTAATAGGTAAAATTAAATGGTGTAAAATCCGACCTAATATACACGAACACCAGTGCGCCCCAAGGTATATCTCCCCTGTCTGGTTTACGCTCTACACCAACGACTGTACTTTTAATTACAAAAACATCAAACTAATAAAATTTGCGGATGATTCCACTCTACAAGGCCTTATATCAACAATTAATGAGAATGAATACAGGGACAAGGTATTTTTTTAAAAACCCAACAAATTGGTGTGATAATTACTACGTCATTAAAAAAAAGGCAAAGGTTAATGTACTTTAGAGTTTTAAAAGATCAATTGCAACCACTATTTATTAAGGATGAGGAAGTGGAGGTTGTAGACGCCTACAAATATCTTGGAATAACCATCGACAACAAGCTTGACTGGCATCCCCACCATGCTGCTCCTGTGTGTAAAAATTTAAACCAAAGAATGTGTCTTTTAACGAAATTAAAGAGAGCTCTCGTGGTCTAGAGGTTAAGGAGTTTGCCTCTCATTCAATGGGTCTAGGGTTCGAAACCTGGCTGCGGTGGAAAATTTTCTTCTCTAAAAATTTCTCCTTTCACCTCCTTTCCTGCTCTCTAAACGTGTTCTGTTATCTGTTTTCGTTTCCAATTTCTCCCCCCCCCCCACCCACCCACTCCTCCCATTTTGTCCCCTCCACGGGGCTCCTGACTCGTTCTGCAGCCTTTCTACTGCTACTCTTTGGCTCCTTCTTACTACATGTACTGTCTTTCAGCCACACCCCTGATCTTAGGGTTTGTAAGAATAGTAAGATCTAATATCTAGCCTTCTCGGAAAAGGGCGAAAATTTTCGAAAGCTCGTGTGCAAGTTGCGTGCGTTAAAGATCCCTTGGAGGTGCAAAATCGTTATCAGTAGGCTTCGGCCGCCACCCGAGCAAAATTCAAAATAGTTTCTACCATTATACATTCTATCTATCTATCTATCTATCTATCTATCTATCTATCTATCTATCTATCTATCTATAACGGGAGTTAAATTCGGAATTCGATCCACGGCCACCCGCTCCATAGTCCAGTGTGAGCTAACAGTAAAAAAGGTGGTGTGATATTGCTTTCACACGTCTTCCAATACGGTAATTTTTTGTAAGTAGAGGAACTAGCTCCGAATCAAGGAGGTACTGTGTACATCATTAGATCAAGAACGACCTGGTCTAGACCAGGTTTGTCTTCTTCTTCAGAGAGAGAGAGAGAGAGAGAGAGAGAGAGAGAGAGAGAGAGAGAGAGAGAGAGAGAGAGAGAGAGAGAGAGAGAGAGAGAGAGAGGAGGGAAACTGTATGGCAACCTCTACTGAATGTTTCGAACCGTAAGAATCTTGTCGCTTACAAGGATTACAAAATAAGAAAAATTAACATCGGAGGATTGGGGGTGGGGGGGGGTCGTTTAAAAGAGTGCAAACCACATATTTCCTGACAGAATAGAGTAACATTATTATATCCCTTTAGTCTGTTGTCGTCCGACAGTGGGACAACATCACATTAATCGCATTGCGATGCGACTAGAAATTAGCTGCTGTCTTTTGAATATAATTGATTAATTTTAAATAGTGTGTGTTGAGGATACTTTGCCACTTTTCTTAGCAACTTTCCTGTCAGCCCGGCTGTTGGAAGGGAGGTTGTGCTGGGGAAGATATAGTCGGTCACTCACGGCCTGTAAACGGACAGTCTGACGAGAGAGAGAGAGACAGAAAAGAGGAAGGGAGAGAGCGTAAGTCAACCCACTTTACGGGAAATCTACAAGGCACTACTCTTGATCAATTCAAATAAAGGTATCAGCACCTATGGTAGGAGTTCGTATCTATTACTTCGAAATGTTAGTTTAAAGATGTAGTATTGTATTGCTGTGTTCCGTAACAGTGAGAGTGCAACACAGTAGTAAGGTAATAAAGTGCGGAAGATTAGAGGTGTTAACCCCTTCGCTGCCAGGCCCGAGAACTGAGAGATGAGGCAAGTCTTCAAGTAAAAACGCATTTCCGCGTTTCATAAATCTTAGTTTATTTAAAGGAATAAAAACAACTCATTGTAGGCTACTTTTTGTTTGGTTTTGGGAGTTCGGTATCGTCGTTGTCCCAAAAACCGTCAACACTCAACTCCACAACCAAAAGGGGGGAGGGTTATCGGTGGGATGAGGATGTGTTGTTAGTCAAGGATGAGGAGTGGCGAATGAGTGGTGGGGTATAAGACAGGAGTTTGCTTATTTCGTAGGCCTATAATCCAACCAGAGAGATCGACTTGGGCCTGGCAATGAGAGGGTTAAATATAAAGCCTAGCATTACCCGCTTATACAGCGCAGAAAACATAAAGCTAAATAAACTGTGCGTCATCAAACTCTCACACATAAGAGTCGCCCAAAATACGGTCACTCAAATCACATAACTGAAGCGAGAGCCCGCCGTAGCAGTGAAGGGGTTTAAAAGAGTAACACAAACACACACACACACACACACACATACACACACACACACACACACACACACACACATACACACACACACACACACACATACACACACACACATACACACACACACACACACATACACACACACACACACACAAAGAAATAGGAGAGATCAGGACGGTAGATATCTGATGGAAATAAGGAGCAAACCACACTAGAGCCCCCCCCCCCCTTTTCCATCTACCCGCGGTATAAATCAATTACTGTCAGCGCCTCCTTGTCAGTTTTACGTCACGTGCCTTTAATTTGTGTCCTCTTTGCTTGGTCAATACCAGTGTCAGGCCGACGAGGTCGTGCTGTGTAGGAGGGAAACTACTATCAGACAGATGAAGATGGACATACTTTTTGTTGTTGTTTTAGTATGAGTTTTACGGCACTTGCAACACAAGTAGGCCATACAAGTGCTGATGATTAGAGGCTTTACAATAGAAAAGACAAACACAAAATGAAAAGGAGGAGAGATGAGGACGACACATTTTTGGATAGGAAAGAAGGAACAATTAAGTCAACATATCCCATACCGATGGGGATCAAGGACTGGTGATGGATCTCATTTAAATATTGAGAAATGCCTAAGCGTCTCAAACAGCTTCTCCCAATCCAGCCAACCGTACCTGCCCGTGGTGGTCCCTGTCCTCACTGACACGGCTCTGGCGAATGGCGAGTTGTTGGCGCCAACAAACAAACCACCCCCGTTTCCTAGAGGGGTTAAAACAACAGGATGGGAGCAGGTGTGGCCCCACAAGGTGCAGGAGGCAGAACCCACCGATGTGTGGTAGACGCTATGCTCCTCACTAACACACCCCTACCCTCCCTTGAGTGGGTGTCTAATCTGCCTAACACCTCTACTTCTTTTATCAACACACCCTCTGTGGCTGAGAAGGTACCAGCCAGTTTGAGAGTGTCTGGGTGCAAGGGATGGACCGAGCGGAATGCCTGACTTGTTTTCTGGCTGTGAAACCTCTTAGTAAAGGCACAACGACCCAGGACGTGACGATCCAATGGCTTTCCCATTTGGCCGATACCTCATGAAAGAGTCGAAAACTTTAGCCAGTAGCCATTGGTGGCGGGGAATGGGCAACGTGAACCCCTGGAATTACACGGTCACTGGACAGTTAGGTCTTTCCAGTCTCATGAAAACTCCTTGTACCCTCATACCCTCAACATGAATGGCCCCTTCTCAGGGTGGGCAGGCAGTCCACAGACACCCCAGTCCACAATGCCATGACATCCTATTCCGATATTAACTATGGACACAGAACAATTATTAACATATTATTGCAGCGTCTGATGAACAGACCCCCCCCCCTTTTTTTTTCTCCCCATGAGCGCGCTCTTTTCTGAAAGGTTGGACAGTCTGAGCTCTTTCAGTCATATCACATTGGGACAGGAGACCAGACTCTAAGACCTTTAGGGTTCCAGTCCATTCACAAAGATTGCTGGTTTCTAGATCTTTGTTCTTCAGACCTCAATTTTTTTCTCATTTTTCTTTTTCTGTGTAAGTTCAACGTTTTACGAGACACAGACTGAGTCATTTCGGAGGCAGGTTCTCTCTTGCACAGCCCTCCTTACAGTGAGTTGAACAGGCAGTTAACCTGAACAAGCATGTTAACTCCACAAGACCTTTCACTTTCAGGTGGGATGTAGCAGCACAACAAACAAATTTCTGTCGACATGAATCAAACTTTATAACAATCACAGAATAACAGTACACTGACGAGTTTCTCAGTTCCTTTTATTTATTTCTGCTTCAGGATTAAAGCTGGGTCAAGTACATTTAAGTTCACCACAGAGTCAAAGGTGCGATTTATTTAAGTGCACACAACATATTATTATGACATCTTCCTCCTCCTCCCCAGTACTCATCTACAAGATTGTGCTGAACTTATTGAGTTGAAAAACTTAACCAACTCACAGAAGTCCAGGGTTCGAATCAAAGCAATATTTCCAAACTTTTCCCAACCTTCCTGGAATGTTTTCCCCCTCTCAGCCCGTTGTTTGGGCAGGGGACAGAGTGCTCCATCGCCTTTAAAATGACCTACAGTAGTGACTAATAGGACATTAAACTTAAACATTACAAATATGGTTCTGTTTTAATCTACAGCCATGCAACTGTATACAACAAACATTTCCTGGCTTTTGCAGTGTAAGAAACACTTTCTTTCCTTCTCTATGATACTAAAAATGCAAGTGCAAATGACAGAAGCAAAGTGTTTAATGTATTACTATTATGACTTTGCGCAAGATCTCGCAAACACCCTTGCCCTCTGTAGACGGCAGCTGAATGTAAAAAGATAAATGCAAAAACACAATGATGGTGTTGTATGGTACACTGAAAATAAAATAGCAGAGTATCAGGCTCAATGACAGAGGAACAGAAAAGATCAAATCATCATACCCAGAAAAAAGCATTGCCACAACTAAAGGAATTTTTCAGTTATGGTTGTACTATAATCTCCATGGTGAGAATAAATGGATTTTCATTTATCATCCATTTACTGCTTTCTTGGAATAAAATGATTTAAAGCATTCATTTTCATTTCCTTCACATAAACACACACACACACACACACACACATACTCACACACACACACACATATATACACACACATACACGCACACATACACACACACACACACACACACACACACACACACTCATATCTCCCTAATATTTACATCATATGTTCAAACAGTCAATGTGATGTGACCTTCTATACCCATTGACACTGAACAGAACATCACACATCTTAACATGGGTATTTCACATACACATTATAGCTTATCGGCCTTTCAGGGTTACACATTACATGTACACTCTTGAGAAAAAATAATACATGTACATGCAATATGACATCAAGGTGACTAGTCAAAACTTTACTCTCATTGAAAGAGCATGCATTTCCAATGGATAAAGCATTCATTTTTATGGAGTTCCCAGCTTATGAACAATTAGTAGGCAGATTGGGTGAAACAATACTGATTGAAACAAAAACAAAAAGAAAACTAAGAAATTCTGTTTGGCAGCATTGCATTCAGATAAACCTTATAAGATACTGAACTCTTTGTGAAAAGTATACAAAACTTTCACCAGCATCCCCTAAAGAAAAGCATTCTGATGTAACCTATCAAATTGTCCTTGCCAAGTCAGGGACAGCTTTCCTAAGAAAATGGTAGAAGAGCACTGCTATCAGAACAAAATTGTCCCACACAGATAGAAATGAGGAATGTTACCCACAAGGATATGAAACAACATAGACAACAAAATGGCAAGTAAAAGTTTTAGGAAATCCTAGTACAAGCAATTGAACTCATTGGGAAAAAACTATTAAAAAATAAAAATTAACTAATGAGAACAAAGAGCCTACATGCTGTCATTAAGTTTTATGAATATGTCCAAGTGGTGCACCCCAACACAGACTTCACTAAAAGATGCTTATCACGTCAACAGCAAGATTATTACTTATTGTTACTTGACTTCAAGTGAACAACAAAACAGAAATGAAACCAGCAATTGGACATTAAAAATTTGATGTAAATTACTTTTTGTTTTAGTCCTCAAGATAAAAAAAAAGAATCCGCCCTAAAACATGTACTGGTTAAGGCCCCTCACACAATACACAACAATAGACGGAAAGAACGTTTAGTAATCTCTGGTCCCTTTCCACGGCCATGTGTATCGTTTGTTGAGAACAAACTGCAGTCAAACCTCATCATATTGCCGCACATCATGAAGCCCACATTTTAACTTCGCATACAACAAGTGCACTGAAGAGTGGCAGCGAAAAAAAGTTGTGCTACCACTGTGAATGCTATGGCACTCTTTGTCCATTAATGTCTTGAAAAGGAACAGCCTTGTTGACCTGTTACCGACAATGACCTGAAGCACTACAGAACAAATTTGCTCACCCGGTTTGAAAGGCACACCATGGGTATACACAAGTTTGCAAGTTTGACTAAAAAGTACAAGTATCATTTTATCCCTCTGAGAACTTTAGAATTAGAATTAAGAATGACATTCCAATGTACTTGTACAAGGACACTGTGACCGACAGTGACACATGAGCTCTAGATGGTGTGCTCCAGCAAGGCTTGTTTTCTCTAACTACAGTGTTTGCAGCCACTTCACAGAATTGGATTAGGTCATATTGACATATTTTGCTCTGGTGAAGGAAAAGAACCCTCACATACTTACAGCAATTGAAAATAAAATCCAACCCAAGACATATATTAATTCAACGCAATGACCTACTAAATCTTTGCAAGTCTTCACAATGAAAATGTGCGGATAGTTTAGGTCTTTGCCAATATGAACAGGTTGATGATTTTAAGTTTAACCGATTAAAATAAAACTTGGAAGATGCCTAAAATAAAATGAGACAGACAAATTCTACCAATGTATGAAGACCCCTTCAGAACACCTTACCGAAATGTTGATTTTGGTGGGAAAGAGTTGGCGACAGAAAGAGGTCTGACTGTAGTCTAGTATGTGCATACAGCTGAACACGATAATCCATCTCATCATCCTGACTTCCAAGTGTTAACAGGACCAAAACAAAAAAAATATAAACTGATAGTCCAAATAATGGGTGACACAAGGAATAGATATGGGCATCCAAATATTACATGATAAGGGAAAATGGATAAAGAAAAAAAAGTAGAGATGTTGACCTCAAATCAGCATCACAAAAGAAGGAATGTGTGTCCATGCAAATGAGGTGAAGAATTAGACTTGGATGTCCACAAGACAGCAGATTGGGAATGTGGTTAATATAATTCTTTCAACAATGCACTAAACTCTTGTGTCCATAGGTGAGTTTGCACCAAGCGATTCAAAGACACCGTTTAGATATAGTCACTTTGAGGTAAACTTAACTAATACATACTATTCCTTTTTTTGCAGAAGCAATTCCTTGGGACAGTTTATCTCATTCCTCAAGTTAAAACCTAACACTACGCCAACAATCGAGTAAAATAAAAACCTTAAAGGTTTTACCCACATGTTTTCTTTTTAAAAAACCAGAAACAAACTCATTTTTCTGCAAAGTTGACACTATCACATCAGATAAAAGAAAAAAAGTTCACATTAAGAGGTAGCTGGCCCTTTGCGCACATACAGCATTATCACATGCATGGTATTATCACAAGACACACATACATCTATACAGCATAAGGGCAATACAGAAAAACAGATTCAAACTCGAGATCACAAAGACTTTTTGTTTCATCCCTTGAAGTCTTGAGTTCAGCTCATTAAGTCACCCACACATGATTGTCATGAAGAAATAAAAAACACAGTGACAGAATTAAGACAAACTGTGATGGTGAAACGTCCTCTCCAGTGTCCAACACAAGAACCTCAAGAACAAAAAATAAAACATAAAATCGATTGTGGGAAAAATATAGGAGTGATAGTACTCCCACTTGTTGACTCTCAAATGAAGTGCAAGGAAAAGCCATCAAACACTGCTGACAGGATGAAAACGGCAAAAAATGAGATTGGTACTGAAGTCCAAGTCCTTCACCCGTTGTCCTCTCAGCTTTCACACTACAGCTGCCCAGGTTGGTTATCATTTACCACATGTCATGGACAATACGTAGGTCACCACCATGTGGAGTTTTGCTCAAAACAGTTTTCACAATCTGTTGTTGCCTCTTTTTATGTATAAAATCTTTAAAATCATGAAGAACTGTGCGCAGGAGGGTGAGTAGTCAGTGTCTTGGGTCTCCCTCACTCAGCACTTCCCATGAGCAGGTGAGGGAGTCTAAGACATCTCAAATGCATTGCCCCACAACAAGATTTTCAGCTTGGGTTTGGAGGAGGTCACTATCCTCAGTCTGTATCTGAGGAAAGAAAACATTTTCAGGATAGAGATATTAAACGATATGGGGTGAACATCAACAAATACAATCACTCATTAACAATGGGGAAACAAAATTTTTGTCAGAAGGAAAACTATTGTTCTAACTATGCCTGAACTGAGAGTAAAACTGAGTGTTTTCCAGTTGGAAACAGAGGCAGCAAATACTAATTTGGGACCAGCCATGTGCAAGAGTTCAATTAACACAAGCCTTATCAAACAACTCCATAACTCTGTTCCATGCAATATCGTGTCAGTCGTCTTGCAATAAAACTTACCATTTTTGTCCTCATCATCATCGTTATTTCTACTATTACCAAAAAGCTGGACTTAATACAAGCAGAAACAAATCCACACGTTTTTTTTGGTGGTCCAACCAACAAATAATCTTGAGTAAACATTAATTCTAAAGAGATCTAGAGATATTCAGCAAAAATGCTATTATTATTGACCATGGACGTAAAAGAACAGATACACATTTAAGAACAAGAGGAGGTCTGAAATAGAGGTCCATGAAGTGGTTATTACATTACAGACTTACTAAGTCATGGAAATTGGGGAACAGTACTGAACAATGTTATGTTTGTCAAAGGTTTCTGAACAAAACAAGAATTTTTCTAACAACAAATGTTCAATTAAAACACAATATAGTTAAAACAGTATGCCAATCCTCCTCCTCCCCCTCCTAACCC